GTAAATGCTTATATGTGCGCAACTCTGTCAAAACAAAGGGATTACAATCGTTTCTCGATGTCAACCCCAATTCCGATGCTCCTGATTGGGTCACCGATGACAAGGAACAGAAGGTCTAAATCAGCACATCTAAGGCAAAGATTAACAGTGAGAGGCTCGGATGGAACAAGAAAGAGTCGACGGAAATTGGCGCCTCGGTCACGGCTGGAGTATCGGGCGGAATTGGCGCTTTCTCGGCCTCTCTCTCCGCGACTGTGCAACGACCAGGCCTCGTCTGTTACTTGCGCTAGCCTATTATTTCTCAACTAAATATATCAACCCCCACGTCTCTAAGTCAAAACCTCACCGCGTTCTCTGGTCTTCGGTCGCGGACCACCTACATGTGCAGATATCAAGACAGACCAATCCATATTGGGACTACAAGAATCATGAGGAGATCAGTAAAACTGTTCACAAACGCCACGGATGTTGTGCGGCTCGAGAAAGTCCGGTGGCAAATGCATGTCCACATCCCATCATGCTTATACAAGGCGTGGCTAGTCACTACCCTGTATCTTTTACGTCATGGCAGTAAACAAATCACACAAACGAACAAGCTGAACAGTACTGTTACGTGAGGTTGGATTGCGTAAGAACCAGTGCAGAAAGTAGTGATACGTTGTAGTTGCAATTGAATCTCTTGTGTCAACACCACCAACATGGTTCGTCAAAGCCGACGCCTGCGACAAGCTGAAGTCCTGCCACCAGCACAACGAGCGATCGGACTAACTCGAAATAAAATACTGCACCTCCGATCATCTTTTTTGTACACCCTTCTCTGAGTAAAGAAAGTTTCATCAACTCTTATTACTCTCCTGGGACTTTCCCAAACAGATTGGCCCCTTTGGGGGGCTGCACACAGTCGGCACTTACAAAGACAGACACATTCCGAGACACAGCACTGCGCATAACCAATGGCGGTTCAGGAATATTCCGGGGCGCCCGAGACAGTCTGTCTTCGGGCTGGATGCCCAACAGTATTGTCACATTGTTGTACTTTGGAAAGACCGAAACCATCACTCTCGTCACATATCAACCTTGGCAAACATGGATCCCAGGCCTACGATCGTCAAATTGCAGAAAAAGCTGAAAATTGAGCGTTTGAGTGTCTTAGGGCCGGGCCATCAACCGAACCGCTATGACTGCGTGGAAGGGAGCATAATAAAGAGGGCTAGACCAGGGCAATGGCAATGTTATCAGACTTTTCGAACTTGTTTTTCGTTATACGAAGCAGAACGCTGGAAAGGGCTGATCACTTGGATTCTTCGAACTTCATCAATGTAGCAGAGAGCGTGAGAATAGAAAGAGTTCATATACTCCGTATACCGCAGTCACTCTCGTTTGGATCGTGCTGTGTCGCGGAGGCATTCCGTGGTCTAAGACAAACCCCCCAGCCGCACGGGAATATCCTATGATAGCAGAGTAACTTGACCGGGGCTGGGTCGGCACATCGCCAACCGACAACTGAGGGGCTTTCGATTTTGTTCGGCTATACGGAGTATTATATGCACTTCGTCGCCACGCTCTCCCACTTCTCTCGTGGGGAACCGCCAACTTCCTTTCCACTGAAATGTCAAAAGCTGTTTTGTCCTTCCACAATACCACCTACGTGCTAAGTAACCATGAGACCTACTGTTACACTTCTCGCTCTGTTGCCGTTTTTCGGTGCTACGGTTTCTATCAGCCACAGAGAGACAGCAGAGAGGCTTCCCGTCATTGAAGGGGACACATCTAATCACGTCAACGAAGCAAGCGAATCACAACCTTCTGCTCGAAGCGGTCTCAGTGCCTCTGACGCCCAAATTTGCGAACAAGGGTATCCATTCTACTGCAACGGGCGTTGCTGCCCGCTCAATCGCTGCTGTGTCAGGGAATGTTGTGGCCCAAGAGCCACCTTCTGTGGTGCTGACGGGCGTTGCTACTTCTAGGCCGGCCATCCATCTGGCTGGCAGCTTTACAAATCCGCTTTGAATTGGCATAGTTGTTAGGTTCTTCATTCTATTTTGTCACACGATGGCAGACTTTCGGGATTCTTTATAAGCATCACGGGCTGGACATGCTGCCTTTACTAGCACTCGACGAGCATTGGCTATATCATAAGTTCATTACAAACTGAAAATCACAATCTTGTGTATAAAGCTTTAAAAATTGCTAGTTCTCATAAGCTTTCATAAAGATCACGTACGGTGTTTCGTTCGGTATATCATGGGTCTTTCTTTTGGGCACTACTACACACACGGTGTTCGTACAATCGGGCCCTACCTTATGCAGTGCTTGCACAAGCATTGGGATAGAATAAACACTTAATATAGTTTATTAAGTTGTCTTTTTCTTTCTACTAGACGTACCCTCTTTTAGGTTGTGTTTTTCACATAGTCGCCTTGTCCCGACTGGATCGTAGCAAAGATGCAAAGAATACAATACAAGCAACGCACTGCTCTGCTCCTGCAACGTTCGTGTCGCGGCTGTCGCGGTACTTATTAGCATTCAAAGAATCTACTACTACAGGCTACTACATATTGATACTTGAGCTTTCACTGGTTAACTTGTTTGTGGTAGCCTTGCTTGGATCGTGACCAGCGCTAACTTTGTGATCGCCCTGGTTTGTAGACCTTGGAACACAATATAATTAGCATCGATAGTTTACGACTAAAAGATATAATATCACGGCAGGGCTAGCTATACATCGCATTGACAATGGGCTTGGTATTTTACTGGAAGCTATGTAGATTGTCAAATGATATCACTCCATACTGTAAGCAGGCTGCATGCAGCCGCTATGTGCAATCCTATAACACCACCGGTATCTTTATATGTATATATCCGGCCTTCAGTTTACTCCTGGAGATATAATCAAATCAGCAAATACCACGGTCTGTCATAAGATACAAGCACTTACGCAGGTCTACCCGATCCAACACGAAACTACGTCAGCAGACATTCCTTTCGAGTTCATTTCTCATTGCTCACTACTTACGCCGATTTTCTGTAAAAGGTTAGCATTATGATCGTGATTACAGTAATACAAGGGCATGGGAAGGACATACAGCATTAAAATCAACATCCAGGATGGTGACCGTACCCTCACAGGTAGGATTGCACGTGCAATTAGGGAAGGTGATATTTTGCCCCAGGGCACTGGCGATACCACAGGGAGAGCCGCTGGCGATAGAACAAGAGGGTAGAAGGCCATCCGCAGAAGCGGTGGCAATGAGTGACAGAACAATGGCAAACTGCATATTCGCAATCTAAGGGTTTTCAGCCCGCAGTGTAAGTAAATTTTTGAGTTTAGCTGTGTGTGATTGATGAGTTTCTGGTAAGGATGAAAGATGGTTTCGAGAGTGGATGGTCCTTGGCTTATATACTCGGCGCGGGCAATTGGTTTTAATGCGAGTTTGAGTTCACTAGGAGCAAAAATGGCCAAGAGCACATGATGAATGTTGGCTATGAATACACGTACCCTCCATCTTGATCACACAGCACGGTCAGTTTATGTTGTCTCATTCAACCATCACATAATGATAAGCGCGCTTACCTGTGAGTCCGTGACCATACACCATATTGATAGTCGTTCCATCAGAAGGGTCTCCAATGTCCATCATACTCAGTTTTATGCCTGTGCCTATCATCTGAGGACGCGGACACATGTTGCATGATAATACTTGGGAAGGGATTCACTCGGTGTAAGAAAAGAGCCGCAGGCCGTGATAGAAAAACGTGAACGGATTCTTTGCATAATCTGCCAATAGTAGTTTGGATTGTTCTTCTTGGGGGGGACCTTTCCCCGCACGCCTGTTGACCGACCTCTGGACGTTGCAGCGAATACTACCATTCCTACTTCGAGATTTCCTCGGATGTCAGCGGGTGTTGTGAATTATCCTGCAATGCTAGAGTCATCACTTAGTCGATTGGAGGTCCGAATCTGGTCAGATCTGCACGGCTCGTCGCTCAATCGCGGAAGCATCTCCCAAAACCAGGACCATTGCCGGAACACCTGAGACATAATTCAGGCCCCGTTGAGTGCGAAAATGTCCCAGGTGGCTTTTGAATCTGCTCCAGAAGGGTGTCAACTATTTCTACGTGTATCTTGGCTGAGAACGCTGCCGATTAATGTGTTGAGGGGTATTAGTAATACTTGACTTTTATTGTAATAATAGAGACGTGGGCACGAATGTACCTATTGATTTGTTTTTCGATTCCCACTGGGTACTATCCCCGTCAGAGACTTTTCCTGCACGTTACCGCTCAAATGAATGGGAATCAGTGAGCCCATTGGCTTATCATTTGTGATCAATTCTTGTTCACCTACTCCGTACGTAACCTACGACCTCATGACCAACGTCGGCCTTTTCGCCAACCACCTCTCGGCACTTGACTGCAGACATGGCGTCATGAATATGCATGCCGACAAATTCATATCACATTCAAGTTATCGAGGAACTTACATATTCATATAACATATTCATGCATATAAAGATAAATGACTCAAATGCTATCACTGTTTTGAGTAATCCCATGTACCCTGGGGTTCGGAATTGCTCCTATTTGGCTTGGATGCTCTTATATATCACCGTATGTAGACTCTGGGTCGCAGGGGAAGTCCATCTCATCCCCAGAAGGGGGTTTGTATGCCCCTCAGCAGGCAGTTGCCAACGCATCCAACCTGCCCAATGCCGTCAACCAGCATATGCAGCCTGTCCTGTCTACCCGTTCGGTGAGTGCTTGACAAAGGTTTCTCTAGTCCGTCAGACTCACCCAGCACAGAGAGTTTTTATAACTATCCGGCTAAGTCGAGGGAATCCCATACGAAAATCCTCACTGCATTAACCTTGAAGCAGCGTAGTGCCAGAAGCACACGCAATAGGTCCTTCAGAGATAAAGCTGTCGAAATCGTCCTTATCGCGTGCTTTCCAATCAGCTTATTTCTGACTACTAAGCGCCTCTTTGGAGTTATAGTGTCTCTAGGCTTTGCCAAGACAGACACACTTGGGCATTGCTCCGTGGGTGTCTCTCGACGTTGAGATTGTACTCTTCCTCCCAAAGGCTACAAGCAGCTTTAAACGCGCTATCGTGCCGTTCAATAGTTTAGCATTCTTCTATGACGGCTCTTGCGCCTAAAGGGATAAAGAAGAAGCGCTACAGAGTACACGGGGACATTATTAGTGTTGGTACAATCCTTATTGAGCACAAACCAGTATATTTTGACACCGCGAACCATGCCATCATCACCGTTGCTCGGGCTCGAATAGTGCGCTTAAGTTTCTGCTTAGCAGGTTGTATAAAATGTGAACACCGAAGCAAGATGGATGAAAATAGTCGCTTACCCTCCACTTCTTGCAGCGTCCTAGAAGGTCTAGCAGCTCAAGTGACTGTGAGATTGAGGCCATATCGCCTTGGGCTTCCAATGCTGGCTCATACGAGTATTGGAGAAACTCCAACGCCTTCTTCAGCATTTTCCAATCCCAAGAATTTAGGGAACTGACTTGACAATCATTATTACGCTCAATAATACACTGAATATTTTGTGACTTCTTAACCTTGTTACAGATGGGCGTCCTTTCTGGCAATCCCCTCTCCACAATCTGCACTCCTGTATAGCCACATCGTATTCGTGGCTCAAAGGCTAATTCAGAATTCATATCTGAGTTTTGGGTAATGTTGAGCTGGCAAAATTAAGCGCGGCCAGGATAGTAAGTATATTGTCTATCGCTCGCAAAACCATGCTTCTTTTTCTCCTTCGTATCCTTTTTGCCCAGCGCAAAATTACCCCAATAATAACCTAGCTTTTGTCGTGCTGAAAGGATCCAGAATCTACGTTATTGGGATGAAAGCTTTCGGAAGGAACATCATCTTGACGCGACTCCACATGTGTCTCAACATCTACTTCATCATCTGGCGTCTGAGCCGCTGCCAGCTTTCCCGAGTCAATATTCGCAAACTCAACCTCATTTGGAGCTTTTTTACTGTACTCGGTGATTGTATCATCGTATGAGCTGCCTGAGGGAGAAGCCGGTGAACGATGAACATTGGACTTCCTCAGTTCGACTTTGCTGACTTCGAGAACTGCAAGTTTTTCTTTAATGAGCCTTCGCTCTGAAGCGAAATATGCGCTTTTCCCAGCCAAACAAAGAGCTTCTTCATCACCGAGACCAAGTCCTGCGTCTGACTGAAGAAAGGAAGGAAGTCTACTAATAAGACGACATTATACAGCCAGCACACTGATACCGTCTATGAGTCTCTTGCTAGCAAGCTTTCAAACAGGCCGTCATGTTAGCATATTGTTTGAATGTACCAGTTACAATTAGAAAGATAATGGTTAGAAAGCAGTCGGAAGAATGCTTACTTTGTAATACGCTTCCCCGTAATTGATCGTCAGCGCATGATTCCATGTCGACTTCAGTGTGGTCTTCCAGCTGAGCAATTAATTCTGAAGGATTCATGTACACGTTGTGAGCCCCAGGGCGCAGTTCGTCTCCCAACGCTTCCCAAATCCCTCTCTGAGCCTCTGTCGGCGTCTGTCCTCTTGGATCTTCCGAACGGTGTCCGCAAGATAGTGGTTGTATGTAATCGGATGGACAGTGCGGTACGGTAGAAGCAGTTTCTGGAATTCGCAGTCCAAGTCGTCACTAAGAACATCTAGTGAATAGCCTCCTTATTGATAACTTGGAGGATTCCTTCTGCAGCCTCTTTAACTGCGACTTGCTCCACGATAGTTTTTGCTACCTTATAAACGATTCTGAGGACATCACTCTTCACATCTGCGACGATGCCGTCCCATGGTCGTGACACTGCTCCACAATAGCTCTCCGATGATGAGTGGATTGAACGTGCCAGGCAATCCACGCCCTCTGCTTCGTCTCATTAAATCCTTGACCTCTTTCATGTACGAAGATCTCGCGATCGGACGCCGGGAAAGCTTCGCTTCATCTTGATAGTCCACTATAATTTTCTTCTGGCCGCGTTGACGCAGGTTTGCGGCGAAGAAGGTAAAACTTTCTTGCGCCCGGGCTCTGAGGCGTTCCTGACGACCTTCATCAGTTTTGGCGCTACCAAGGAATGCATCATTGTATTTCCCATCTACAGCAGCCCGCATAAGTTTTGTGAAGTCTCGTCTGACTTGAAATGGATAACCGCGTTGCTCCGCTGGCGTAGTGCGCGCGGTACCAAGTCGGTTTACGTGATTCCTGCAATTCGTGATCTCGACGTCAATGTCCTGGACAAAAGTCGGCAGCTGTTGTAGTATCTGCTTCTTGAAAACGTAACTGATCCTCGGCCTTGGCGATTTCACTCCGAGATCTTTGTTATCCAAAGCAGCCCACGGCCCAGATGAGAAAAATGCCTCTTCAGCCTCATCTCGCTCATCTGAACTGACGTGCCTCATTTTAAAGTCTTGGTTCTTCAAAACATGCCAGCCAAGTCGAAATACTACATCCTGGTTTTAAGCAAGCCTAATGTGGGCAGTCTCGCTGTCAGATCCAGAGTCCAATGCATCTGGCTTCGTGATGAGGCCAAGGGTGCGAACTCCGGAGACCATGCGGATCGAGCTCGTAAGCCATCTCAGTGATCACCTGCAAAGCAAAGTCGCTTTTTGCCGACACTACCGCAAGTATAATGCTTTGAGGTCTTCTAACATAATCGCGAACCATCTTGCTAACTATAAGCGCGTCTTCAGCAGATTGGTCTTGATTGCCCGCTCGAAACAGCCCGGGAAGTTCGACCATAGTCAGATGTGGTTGAAATGGACCACATGGCTCAATGCGGAGGACATCAGTACCAAACTTTCTTGTTTCTGAAAGACGCATGGCTTTCTTTGCTTTCTCAAGGATGGTACCAATGTCCGGCTCAGAAGATTGAGTGTCTAGGCTGAGGCGTCTAAGCCGCGCTTTCTCCTCAGCTGGTCTCTCCGGATCGGGATTGATAGATATTATGACGGCGTTTCGAGCATGACGGCGAAGGACTAGCTGAGTAGGGAAATTTCCGGCGAGTCAACATACTTTCCAAGTCCCCTGGATCGTAGCTCTTCAATTGCATCGAGCAGATTTCGGTGCTCCGTGGATTGAAGTCCGCATGTTTCAGGCGTTTCTTCGGTTTACAGTATAGGATTTGATGTCCAAAAGTAAGAGGCGAAAGGAGAAGGCGGGGTTACTTAAGAGCCAACACGCCAATAAATACTTGAGGCTTTAGGTTGAGCATCAACTGAGCGTCTCAAGTACGTGGCATTGGCCAGCCTCCGGCAGAACTAGTGGTCCCGACGCTGTAAAGTCACTGCAGCTGTGGTCTCAAGTTTAGGTTTTGAACATGCAACATGGAGAGATTGCCACAAAGATTAAATGTTCCTGGCGAGCGAGAGCATCAACCACCTAGGGGGTCTCGTGCCCTCGTGTGACAAGGGCTTGTAGGACTTCAGTACCAGGACTTGCAAATAAAGGTTCAAATTAGGCTAACAACTCTTTTGGGAATCAAAAGTTCATAGTTCCCTTGGGCAGAAGGCCCTTATTTATACAAAGCAGCGGCGAGCACTCGGGGCTAGAAGCCACCGACGCCTTAGGCTTCCAACTAGGTCTTGAGCCCTTGTGAAACCATCGTCAGCATCAAGGGCCGCTCGGTGCCCAGATGTTGTGATACCCTGGTGTGATACCCATGTGACAGACAGTGAGTACCTGAAAACGGAAAAATTGATGTTGCTCCTTATCTTCAGAGAAGAAAAGCACTTGACCTGCGAATTCTCTTAGTTGCCCGACCGGCTGCACCCTGCCGCAAAGTAAACAGAAAAAGGCAGGAAAACAAACCAAGAATGGTGAGTAGTAAGATTTTGATACCTAATAGCAGGTTGTGGCGATACAACCGAGGCTAATTGAATAGGCAGGAATCGGAAGGATTGTAGTTACCTAGCGAATTGCACTGTACGGAATTGGCCTGGAAATAAACGAATTCACATCTATTCAAATAACTTAAAAGATGTGTTTTAAGATTTGCAGGACTGGTTCACTTGGTCTTGGTGACAACAATAGCACCTTCACATTCTGAAGTTCTGATAATACCTTGAGAAGCCGAAGTGTCATGAAAAAGTTGAATTAAAAGTAAAAATTAACAAAACGTGCTTTTAGTTGATAGCAATACGTCGAGAGGACTGCTTCTTGGCCTTTGGCACAACAACGCTCAGAATACCATCCTTGAAACTTGCGGTAACAGCATCCTGGTCAACTGGCGTAGGGAAATTGAAAGTTCGAGAAAATTCGCCGATGCTGCGCTCAGAAAGCCAGTACTTGACGCCGTGCTCGGAATCCTTCTCGTTTGACTTTTGAACGGCAGTTTCGCCTTGCTGAGCGGGCTGCTTTCCTTGTTTGCTTCCTTGGTCGGCATCTTCGACAGTCGCCTTGTGTTGGGACGTTCCGCTGCCCTCAGCGATGGCGCCCTTGTGGTTGGATTGTTCAAGGGCCCTGGAGGGTGGAGTTCCCGAAGTGTACGATCTCTCGGATCTACCGCGAACAATCAAGGTCTGGGGCTCGGCGAATTCAATATGGACATTTTCCTTGGTCAGACCGGGCAGTTCGCCGTGAAGTTCGTAACTGTCACCAGTTTCGCGGACGTCGAATGCGGGTTGCCAAAGGGCATCGCCGCCCCGCTTGCTGTCACCGGAAGAAGTGCCTTGACGACTGTACTTGTCGAAGTCGTTGAGCAGGCGGAAGAGAGGGGTGAAGGAGTGAGAGTCGTCGAAAAATGCTCGTGGGAAAAAAGCCATTTTGAGTGTGAGAGTTTAGAAACGCGTGTAGGAAGAGTTAGTTTTTGCGCTTTTTGAGAATGTGTAAATTATCTGAAGAACTATGCTGAAGTTGTGAGTCTTGAAGAGAAAACTTTGGGGATGAGGATGGTTTATTTATACTTGAGAAAGAAGACAGCGTGGTTTGGCATTTCTGAGTGGAAGATACGGGAAGTTGCCATCATGTTCTTGCGGTAAATGGTGAGGTGGTCATGCCGTGGCTCGCTGGTGGGGTGATGGAGTCTGGTGGCATGTTCTGGCCAAATTCTGACCAAGTTCTGGCCAAGTTCCAGAATATCTCAGAGCCATCGGCGGCTTTCTGTGGGGCATGCAGCATCCCAGCCGCCCTAAACAGGAAAGAGAAAGAGCATTGCCGCGGCCGACAGTTCCAGCATCCATACGATGACGTCAACGACTTTTCCATATTGCCAACTCGTATTCTATCTACCCTCAGCTCACGGAACATCCTTGCATTAATGAGTTTGAAAATGCTATACTACGGAGGTACTATAGCACTAATTAATTCTTCATTCAATAAAAAAAAAACGCATAGCAAATGCCCGTGTTCCCTCGTCAACACGTTTCTTCCCTTTTTTTTAAAAAAAAAATGCCCTGCCCAGCCCAGCTTCAAAATCATACGTGTTCCTGATCGAAATAGCCAGCGCCTTGTCTTATCTGCTGTTCACGAAATATTGAGTACCGTTGACATCTATTGGGAGCTGCATGCATGAGCGCTATAGCCTATATCGCGCTAAACCTTGATATACGCACATCCCGCTAGCTACGCCCTTACATATAATCACTTAGATACGCGACTTCATATTTTCGCGTTTTTTTTATAGCCGCTTGAGGGCATCGTAATGTGTGTGGGGGGGGGCGGGCGGCGCACCTAAAAAGGACCCGAATAATAAGGTAACCGCAGTTAATTTCGCGTTTTTGAGCGAACTGGGCTCTTTTAATGCTACTGCCACCTAAAGCCATTGAATTTTGAAGCTGAAAATACCGCAATTACCAAGCGCGTTTTTTGAAGACAACACACAATTATTCTTTTATGTGTGGAACACAGCAAGGGGTGTATAGGTTATGGAGCTCCCGACCCAATCGGGTTAGTTGTGGGTTACAGCGCTCATGCATACAGCTCCTAATACGAAGTACAGCAAACCATGTCTATATTGATCCTGTATCTTGGCGATATTCAGGTTTTTACGATAATTCACGGTTATTTAAGGTTTATCCCTGGTAAATTAATATCTAGGTTTCTTATAATATCATTAGCCTCAGGCTTAGTCACCATACATTTTAGTGTTTTTATCGTCATTAGGCCCTCACTTTAAGGGCTGAATTTTACAGCCTCCCACGCGTTTTTCTTCCTTTAACACCATATGCACCCACCAATTGGCAGGGAAAATTAAAGCTGCTCAGTAATATTTAAAGCTGTAAGCGCCAGTCAAAGGATTGGGATAACCGCCACGAGGCTCTTTTAGCTGTGGCACGCGATGCGTAGCGTATCATTGAAAAGAGCCCTTGTTTTGAGCACGTTGACGAGCGCGTTGCCGAGGGCTGCCACAAGCTTCAACAGCTTCAACAGCTTCAACAGCTTCAACAGCTTCAACAGCTTCAACAGCTTCAACAGCTTCAACAGCTTCAACAGCTTCAACAGCTTCAACAGCTTCAACAGCTTCAACAGCTTCAACAGCTTCAACAGCTTCAACAGCTTCAACAGCTTCAACAGCTTCAACAGCTTCAACAGCTTCAACAGCTTCAACAGCTTCAACAGCTTCAACAGCTTCAACAGCTTCAACAGCTTCAACAGCTTCAACAGCTTCAACAGCTTCAACAGCTTCAACAGCTTCAACAGCTTCAACAGCTTCAACAGCTTCAACAGCTTCAACAGCTTCAACAGCTTCAACAGCTTCAACAGCTTCAACAGCTTCAACAGCTTCAACAGCTTCAACAGCTTCAACAGCTTCAACAGCTTCAACAGCTTCAACAGCTTCAACAGCTTCAACAGCTTCAACAGCTTCAACAGCTTCAACAGCTTCAACAGCTTCAACAGCTTCAACAGCTTCAACAGCTTCAACAGCTTCAACAGCTTCAACAGCTTCAACAGCTTCAACAGCTTCAACAGCTTCAACAGCTTCAACAGCTTCAACAGCTTCAACAGCTTCAACAGCTTCAACAGCTTCAACAGCTTCAACAGCTTCAACAGCTTCAACAGCTTCAACAGCTTCAACAGCTTCAACAGCTTCAACAGCTTCAACAGCTTCAACAGCTTCAACAGCTTCAACAGCTTCAACAGCTTCAACAGCTTCAACAGCTTCAACAGCTTCAACAGCTTCAACAGCTTCAACAGCTTCAACAGCTTCAACAGCTTCAACAGCTTCAACAGCTTCAACAGCTTCAACAGCTTCAACAGCTTCAACAGCTTCAACAGCTTCAACAGCTTCAACAGCTTCAACAGCTTCAACAGCTTCAACAGCTTCAACAGCTTCAACAGCTTCAACAGCTTCAACAGCTTCAACAGCTTCAACAGCTTCAACAGCTTCAACAGCTTCAACAGCTTCAACAGCTTCAACAGCTTCAACAGCTTCAACAGCTTCAACAGCTTCAACAGCTTCAACAGCTTCAACAGCTTCAACAGCTTCAACAGCTTCAACAGCTTCAACAGCTTCAACAGCTTCAACAGCTTCAACAGCTTCAACAGCTTCAACAGCTTCAACAGCTTCAACAGCTTCAACAGCTTCAACAGCTTCAACAGCTTCAACAGCTTCAACAGCTTCAACAGCTTCAACAGCTTCAACAGCTTCAACAGCTTCAACAGCTTCAACAGCTTCAACAGCTTCAACAGCTTCAACAGCTTCAACAGCTTCAACAGCTTCAACAGCTTCAACAGCTTCAACAGCTTCAACAGCTTCAACAGCTTCAACAGCTTCAACAGCTTCAACAGCTTCAACAGCTTCAACAGCTTCAACAGCTTCAACAGCTTCAACAGCTTCAACAGCTTCAACAGCTTCAACAGCTTCAACAGCTTCAACAGCGGCTTTGGCACGATTGGCAGGAAAGCTCGTGACGCGGTAAAAAAAAAAAAACATAATCCTCACAAAAGATTCTTACAGACCTGGTTTACCGTACTCGAAATATTGGTATGCTGCAACAAGACAACTGCTAAAGTCACTAGCAAACACCTAAGGGTTGGAATGTGCCTTGCCGCAGTGATTATGGGAAAGCGATACCCATGAGTCATCTGCTCGTACACTTGCCTCGTCGGCGGATATGCCTGTAGAGTATCAGTGTTTGCCCCAATGTTGGATTTGTCGTCATCGTTATAAAGCCACATCACAGTATTTGATGTGTTGTACGTTGTACGCCTATGTAATGTGCGGCACTAGGTAGGTAATAACGACGGTTCAGATGACTTTTCATGGGCATTGCTATTCGCGCTCCTGTCCCTTTTCAACACTCTCCAACCTTTGTCAAGATGTGAGCTCAAGAATTGACTCCCTGGCCACAAAACACCAGCAAGGCCCGCAGTTGTGCCGGCAAATATAGCCCAACATCCGCATTAAGAGTCGCCAAACCGATTGTTAGATAATGGGGACAAGCACAACCAGGCAATCGACGGCTACAACGTCTATTCCAACACGTACGACCAATGCCGGCCCGCTCGCCCCAATTACCATGGCACCGGACTGCCTCGATGCAGCGATTGCTTATGTCTCGGTCCATCGCTTTTCTCCTACGGTTGTGGAGATGCAACTCAGCTTTTACCTATATATAAGACGTGATAGAACGTAAGACCTCTACGTTTTCTCCCGGCACCGCGTGGCCTGATGGATACCACATGCACTCTGGTCGCCCCTAGCGTCACGCTTGTCGCAGCAACCAACGTGGAAGTCTGGGAGTCCTTCGCCAGCGGCGATATGGCAATTGGGTGCTGTCCTATGTAAATGCTATCATGTTTTACTCCAATGTTGCGGAACCGGCCATCTGACCACCCCTTAGTAGCTACGCTTGCACATACAGCTTATAGAGGTACGCATGCGTAGCAGCTCTTGCGAAAGTCGAGACAGTCACTACTGTCTACGCATTAAATACTTCACGAACGGTGGAATTAACTGCTTGTTCTCACACGCGGGTCCTCTTGTGTGTGCTCAAATTGTTCTACGTTCCTGAAAAAGAGGCCAGTTCTCTCAGCCAGATTTCCACCCCTACGGAAAGCAATATACCTTCCAGCAACATTGTCTCTCTACTGCGTAAAACAATGCGCTGACCCGAGGGTAGATCGTCGCTATCATAGTGTTTCTTCTGCTGAGTGTGGTTGTAGTACTACTCTCTAGTGTTTTGCTCTATCGGTGTTGCATGGGGAAGACTGAGCAAGCTCCTAACAGAGTTGGGGACGCCCCTCGTCCAGAATCTTGCAGCACAGCAGAGCTTGACGCACCTATCAAGATAGTCTGCGTAAATGAGCTGGAGCTGCCAGAATACGAGAGACACCGAGGCATGTACAAAGAAAATCGGCGAGCTCGGAGACTCTGGGGTCCGACCTGTTCCTGTCGGTGGAAATGCACCAGCTATCTATAGGAAACCAGTAACTCAGCCGTGCTAGAACTTCAGAAGCGACAATAAGCTGAATATAGGTCGGTAATTTCGCTTGGATATAAGCAGAGGGAGCCTCGTGTACAAAGCGGAAGAGTACGGCCACCACATTAGGCGATTCGGAACGACGCAATTCGATTTTTTTTTCTCAATGACTTGGCGCGTTTGCGAATTGAATGATGGACATGGTGTCCTTCTCAATGACTTGCACATATCACGTACTCGTATTGCAAGGCCCTGTATATATTTATACGTTGGGTGCGACAAGGGCTCTGTGAGGGCTTGGAGTCAATAGCTCAATTCATTTAATAACAGTCTTTGATATCAAAGGTCGTTGGTTCTCCAAGTCCTCGAGGGACCAAAGGTCTCTATAAATACAAGAAGTCGGTGCGGGCCTCCTGCCCTAGGTCCGGGGATCTAGCCCTAGTGTAACCGTGTGACATTGGGTAAGCTTGTAGTTGCAGACGAGAATGCCAGAACACGAGTCCTCGACCCGGTTTCACTACCTGCTAATTGGCTGTAATGTCGCAGTTGCAGATATTACACATGTATTCATAAGATAATTTGTTTCTCTTGAACTACTATCGAGTGAAAACCCTTTCAAATTAGATTCACCACCTGATGAGCCTGCCCCTCGTTTGTGTGCTTCTAACGCCGTCGTTATAAAGGTATACTGTAAGTTTTTGTTGAAGTAATGGGCTCTCTGCATAACATACCAATACACCACCCCAGTCGAGTTGAGCGGGTTGAGCCCAGCATGGCTCGATTTAGACTCTCGGCTTCGGGCCCGGCCTGCAGGCTGGACCCACGCACAAGAGAAATTACTCGGGCGTCAAGTTTAGGTGCTTAAGAACGAGAGCTCTCCTTTTGTGTTCTGTTTCTCTGTCTACTTTGGCGTTTAGGTACTCGTAGAAGTCGCCTATAAAGAGAGATGTGAATGATTGGCTGGGAATACTCCGGATTCCGGGACACCAGTCTGATAATCCTACCATGGATACGGGACTTGGTTGATAACAGTAGCCCAAGATCAATGCAACCGCCTGGGACTGGACCAACCCTATCTCCAAGCAGGCCTAGGGTGTGTTATGGCGGCGAAAATGCTACGCTCTGCGTTACGCTCAGGCCCTTAGTTGTGTGTAGAAGGGTCCAAGCGGTGTCGAGTGTAGTGGACGAAACCATGACACTTGACTTTATCGAATAATCACGCAGCTGTATTTTTACTGTGGAAGGCGAAGGATTCTTCCAAGTGTTCTTGAATAATTCCTAGGCTCCAAATACCTGGTAAGGAAAGTGCTATGGGCACCTGGATGTCTTGGATCCCGGAGATGGACCTGGTTTTCCGCATGATCTAATAGGAATGAAGGCCCAATAGTATCAATGCATTACCAATTTCAACCCAGACAATTAAATGAGCTGCCAAAACAAGCCCAATGACGGTCAGACAATGGAACCCCCGCGCATTAGACCTTCCTTTGCTCTTGGCGCCCGGGATGAAGATAAGAAAGATGTCATATAAAATGCCGGCGCCCATAGCTTTAATACGCCAAGTGAATAAATTACTTCTTCTTTGATTGTTCGACAATGAAGCCCCTTGTATTGGCTTTGACATTGTTTCTCCATGCGGCAGCTGGGGCCAAACTGCAGCCACCTCCGACCAGAGGCGTGCCAAACGGCCACTACGGTGGAGATGCGGTTGCATTCGCTAACGAGACATTCGAGCAATTCATCTTGGCGCAAATGAATGAATGGCATGTTCCGGGACTTGCCATGGCCGCTACAGAGGGGAATAAAACTTGGGCCAAGGTTGTCCCGGGCACATACAACTCTGCTTCAGTGCTAACACGGACGACAGGGCTTCGGGTATGCAACACTGGGTTCGGAGCCCGTCACGCCTTCGACGTTATTCTACTGTGGTAGTATGACAAAGTCATTGACAGCCGCTGCTTTGTCAATATTGGTAGACGAGCGCAAAAACGGGAGCAATATGCAATGGACCACTCCCATCTCCAGCATACTCAAGGACGACTTTGTCCTATCCGACGCTTGGGCTACCGGCCACATAACGCTCGAGGATGCGCTATGTCACCGCACTGGCTATCCACGGCATGACTTTTCAGGCCCGTTCGGCAACTCATCCGTAGACATGATTCGGAAATTTCGGCATCTCCCCATGTCCCAGGAGCCCCGCGTGAAATGGCAGTATAGCAACATGATGTACGGCACATTAGGATACGTGGTTGAGCGCATAAGCGGAACAAGGCTGGCTGACTTCTTCCGAGACCGACTCTGGCACCCCATGGGCATGTTTAACACATTCTTGCACCCAGGCGACGCACTCGCCGGCGGCTGCCGCCTTGCCCACGCCTACTACTACAACAACGATACGCAACAGTTCGGCGAGTTGCCGTGGAATGATGAGGGAAGCGTCGCGGCTGCTGGAATGGCCATTTCGTCCGTCCTCGACTGGTCCCGGTATCTACGACACATGATTTCGGAATCGGGGCCCATTCCCAAGGCTGGCCACGCAGCCCTTAAGGCGCCGCACATGGTGTCAGAGCAGGACAAGCGCATATACTCTGGGACCGAGTTTTACGGGCTGGGCTGGGGTTCTAACATGATCCAGAATGAAGCCGTCTGGTATCACTCGGGAAGAGTTAGCGGCATGCTGTCCTACATGGCATTTATTCCAGCTCGGAAATTTGGATTTGTCATAATGCTTAACACGGAGAGTGTGGCGGCCCTCGACTCCATCTTTTCCACCACCTTGTTCAACTATTTCGAGGTGGCATCGTCGAACCGTTATGATATTAAGCAAGGGTGAGTGAGTACGCCCTTCACTAGGCACTAGGAATATTAACAAGGCGGCAGATGGTACGACTTGTTGAGAGACTTGGATTATGGTTTACGTAACTGCTCGGCCCGTCTGTATCCGGGAACAGGCGCCGAGGCATTGCCATCAGGCATAGTACTAGACGACTTGGTAGGGAGCTACTATAATGACGGCTATGGATATGCCAATGTGACGCTGAGATGTGACGACTGGAAACCAGCAAACGGGTCCCCCAGCGTGCTGTCTCTTACGTCAGATGGGTGTCGGGTCGTTATTCCTCGGTCTGAGCTGTTTGGCAAAAATGTTTCCTTTCAGTTGCAATACGTGTCTGGGGATCAGTGGCTGGCTTGGTTCTTTGTTGACGACTACAAAACAGTGACGAGGCCAACCGGTTGCTACAGAGTCCAGATTGTCCTTGGGCCTGATGGAAAACCCGACATGCTTGGCCTGGACATTAGGATGGAGGGAGACGATTTGCCCTTGACCTGGTTCAAAAGGGCTTGACAAGGTCGCCTGCATGATAATAGTTGGCTGACGACGTCTTGTTCTTTGTCCTCACTGGTGCTGTCCCAGTGCGTAAATAGGCCCGGTGAATCAAATATATCACACGCAGAGCCTTGTTGGAGAGAAGTGAGACACAACGCTGTGCGCAGTATGGGCCCTGATACCCGGCATTTCAAATGTTTCACTATGCGACAAAATCAACGCATTGCTCACTAATAGAATTCATCCAGCGCCCTTACAAGACTCTCCAAACATTCTTACAGAATAAAATCAGAATAACCGTTTTTTATTGAAAGATGTTCTTGACAAGAGCAACCTCTACCGTGTATACCTTGCCACCATGGTCCAGTTGCTGTCTCAATGGTCTGGCGCTGGCTCCATCACTCTCTACGCTCCTGATCTGTTCGAGATTCTCGGCATTACCGGTAGTAAAGAGGGCCTTCTTATCACTATTATTTTAACAGTAATTTATGCCCTCTTCTTGGTGGATGTGATTGGCCGAAAGCGTGCGCTGCTCACAGGCATCACCCTATAAGCTATTTCCATGGTCTATGTCGCTGGTTTCTTGACGGCTGTTCCTGAATCCTGAGCTTGACACTGTTAAACACTTCGTCCTGCCTGCCTCCCAGGTCCCCGCCGGCCGTGGAGCCATTGCTATGGTTTACTGATTGACCCCTATCTGGGAGTCATTCTAAACTTGATCTGTCCATACTCCTCCAGTCAGGAATCACTACTGGGCTTATATCCTCTCTGCACCTCCTCCTGCATCTCCTCTCGGCTTCACCATGTACCCACTTTAAGCCTAAGCTTTGCAATACAACCGTTGACCCCTGTAAGTTTAGCCATAAGCGACCTGACAAGGAGTTAGTGGGGGTTATTAACAGGGGATTTACTGCTAACAAGAGCCAGGCATTTTCTTTATTTATATTAGTGGCTGCTGACTGTATCTATGCAATATTAATCCCTTTGATTGCGTAAAGGTCTAACCGATGTATTGGATCCACTTTTTCTGCGATACCTAATAGAACCTTTGGCAGTAAGGTTAGCTGTAACCAGAGCATTGACAAGAAAACTACATTTTTAATTTTCAAAAAAGCTTAAATAATTAATAATAAATCTAATAAAATACTTGAATTATTATAATAAATACATAAATTAGCTAATATTATAACCAATTAGATTACATAAGAAAGTGGGTCCTTCTAGCTTATTATAAGCTTAAAACTTAAAAAACTACATTTTATAGTTTTTATAGTATAGTGTAGTGTAGTGTGTTTTTAGAAAATTACATAATCTAGTTTTTAAGCTTATAATACTATATAAGGACCCACTTTTTTTATGAGCTTATAATATAGAATTTATACTAGTTATTCAAAAAACTTATAATTCTATAAGTATTTTATTAGATTTAATATAAATTTTTATATTCGAAACTACAAAAACTACAAAACTACAAAACTACACTACAGTCAATGCTCTGGCTGTAACACAAGATATAGCTCTCTATAAATTTAAATATTAGTGGTACTTTTTATCAACATATTATTTCTCAATAGTGTTGCGTACCTTTTAATAATTTTTCTATTAGCTAGGACCCTAGCTTAATACGTGAAATAGACCTTAACGCACTCAAAGAGATTGATAGTGTGTGGCGGCATTTGTGCTCACAACTCGGAGGAAATCGGATGGACCATTTAATCATAGCTGGATTGCTAGTATAAGAAGACAGCCTTACTCTCAAGTCTTTAATTTAATAAGTTTCGCCTTCACAATTAATTCTATGGCTTTTTTTACTAATATTTTACTGAATCATTTAACCGGCCTCGTGCGAGCCTGAGCTATACAGCTAAATCGTTTACGTTACTTGATTACTTACTTGCATTTGTGATAGGCTGTAGCCTGTGATACGTGCAATTGAAATTACTAACTTTTAAAAGCATTTAGTCACTTTATTTGGATTGGTTTACTGCTTATTTATATTAGTCTTTAGGCTTGAGCTACGAGAATTTCACAGAGACTAGGTCGCGATATCGCGTACAGGGTCAACTTGTGTGTGTGCGTGTCGTGTTTGGGCCAATAAAATAGGTTAAATAGCAGGGGAGTAAACGTCTGGTGGAGATTTCATCGCGTTATCAGGTACTTCCCGCCCCCACATGCTCTGTAATAATTATTGACCTCTTATTGGCTCTAAGACCCCTTATTATGTCATACCGGGCTAAAACATTCAGGGTTTAAACTGTAAGCCATCAGGAACCAAAATTTTGACGCTTTCGTCATTCTCTTAACCTACGACATCAATTGTTCCCAAAGTCCTGGGCCGCTCCGACGACCTACAATGCCACTTCAAGCAGTGAGTGACCCCCCTCCGTACGATTGTAAAACTACTCTGTCTGATGAACTGACCCTCTCAGATCGCAGCTCGCTCGCTCGGCCGCGCATCTGGCCGCCCGTCTAGTCGATGCCTTTACATTCAGCATGTCGTCCCATTGCCATGCCATCAGCACTCCCCTCGTCGCTCATTGGCCACTACAACCACTGCTCGAGCAAGAGTTTCGTTGAACAAAGTAAACAGAGGACCCAGCCTTAGCGACCGCCCTTACGAAAGCAAGACACCGCAAACTCTTACGGAGAAGATCGTGCAACGCCACGCCGTTGGTCTGCCAAAGGGCAAGCTCGTTCGTAGCGGCGACTACGTTCAGATACGGCCTCATAGGTGTCTCAGTCACGACAACACCTGGCCGATTGCCCAGAAATTCATGTCAGGGTCCCCCGAACCAGTTGCTTTTGCAGACTCTGCGCGTGTGGGAATGCATGGTTGACCAGAACAGGTCGATGAACGCCACACGAATCGAGGACCCGACGCAGCCGGTCTTTGCGATTGACCATCAAGTTCAGTTGAAGAGCGAAGCCAATCTCCGCAAATACGAGTTGATCGAGGCATTCGCCAAGAAACACGGCGTAGCGTTTTTCCCCGCGGGCTATTCAATCGGCCACCAAGTCATGGTAAGCACCCACATTGACTCAGCCTTCGGCGGGCTAACCTCCCCAGATTGAAGAACTCTTCGTCTGGCCAGGTACCCTGTGTGTGGGCTCCGACAGTCATAGTTGCATGTACGGAGCCTTGGGATCCCTCGGGGTCGCGGTGGTGAGAACCGATGGAGCTTCCATTTGGGCGACCGGCAAGAGCTGGTTCCAAGTTCCTCCGGTGGCACAGGTCACGCTCACAGGAACATTGCCGCCCGGCGTGACCGGAAAGGACGTCATCCTAGCTCTCTGTTCCGTCTTCCCTACGGACGTGCTGAACCATGGTGTGGAGTTTGTTGGCTCGGAGGAGACCATGTCCAGCCTCTCTGTCGACGATCGCCTTACTATCAGCAACATGGCGACTGAGTGGTCTGCAACTTCTGCAATGGTATGCCAATGCACAAGGATTATTCTATTGTATCTCCGTCTAACTCGTTATACGCGGTAGTTTCCAGTTGATGGGACTCTGGAGCGCTGGCTACGAAAAAAGGCTTCAGAGGCTGCAATCTACGAGGACCGCACGACTCGCGAGAGGATCACACACGACATGATCGATCAGCTCTACAGCGACCCTACGTACATCCAGGCTGACCCTGGAGCTCATTACGCCAAGAAAATCTACCTGCATGTCCTTCCTGTGCCCCGCTAGCTAGTTCTTAACTGACAGTGTCATAGAAATCTCTCTTCCCTTTCGCCTCAGATAACAGGACCTAACTCTGTGAAGATATCAACCCCGCTCAGCGAGGTTGCTCCCAAAGAAATCAAAATTGACAAGGCTTACATTGTAAGTTGTACCAACTCACGGAGCTCTGACCTAAAGGCTGCAGCCAAAGTCTTCCAGGATGCTGCCAAGGCCAAGGGCAGCAGGGAGACGCCCAAAATCGCGGACCACGTCGAGCTCTATATCGCAGCAGCTTCAACCAATGAGCAGAAGATCGCCGAGGAACAAGGTAGCTGGCAAACGTTGCTTGATGCTGGGGCGATTGCCCTCCCAGCTGCCTGCGGCCCGTGCATTGGGCTGGGGCGAGGCTTGTTGAAGGATGGTGAGGTCGGAATATCTGCCTCGAACCGCAACTTCAAGGGCAGGATGGGCTCAAGACGTCAGTTCTCTCACCATGCATGAAAATCTGTGCCAGGAGATTGACTGATTGCGTCACTAGTTGCTCAAGCGTACCTTGCCAGTCCTGAGGTGGTAGCCGCCAGCGCTCTTAGCGGTAAGATTTCAGGTCCCGGCGTATACAAGCCCCACGAGAACCTCAACGGCATCGAGTTTGGTTATGGTGTAGGCTCCCCGGTGTCCCCTCTGAGTGGGCTCGAGAGTATTACGGAACAGCTAGATTCTCTTATCGACGGGGTTGAGCCTTCTGCCCCCCAGGGCGACGACGCCGCAAAGGAAACGACTCGGATGCTTCCGGGTTTCCCCAACAGCATCAGCGGTGAGATTGTATTCTGCGACGCCGACAACCTTGATGTGAGCCCCACCCCCTTCCCCACCTCGGAACTATTTCCACGTGGCCTTCCATTCTGACATGGATGTTCTCCAGACCGACAATATCTATGCAGCAAAATGGACGTATCAGGATGATGTCACGAAGGAGGGCATGGCGGAGGTCTGCATGTCTAACTACGACCCCGACTTTGGCTCAGTCGCGAAGCCTAATGATATCCTTGTCTCGGGATACAACTTTGGCTGTGTACGTTTGACCTGCTCCAACTTTATCGTAAAAGCAGGCTCTAATCTATTCTAGGGATCCTCACGAGAGCAAGCTGCGACAGCAATCCTAGCCAGGCAAATTCCGCTTGTCGTGGCTGGGAGCTTGTCTAGTATCTTTGCCCGCAATAGCATCAACAATGCGCTCTTGGGATTGGAGGTACCGCGACTTGTAGAACGTCTTCGTGCTGCCTTTCCCTCATCGGAGAAGGTGCCGACACGGCGGACGGGCTGGACCCTAACGTGGGATATCTCTCGAAGCACCATCAAAGTGCAAGAGGGTAAGGATGGAGAATGCTGGGAGGAGAAGGTTGGCCAATTCCCAGAGAATCTACAAGAGATCATCGCAAAGGGGGGCCTGACAGAATGGGTCAAGCACGAGATTGCCAAGGTCGCTGTGTAGGATTAATGGTCCAATCCTCGTCAACCATAAACTTGGACAAAGGGGGGGAAAAGGCGAGAACAAGTATAACTCAGTAAACTGGGGCATTCCAACGTTAGAAGTAGAAATCGTCGGCCAAGGCTCATTGGCGGTCTATACGCAGGTGCTGCTGCCTGCCTTGATACTCTCAATCCCTGGCAAGGGCATTGTCAAGTATGTGTTGCAACATAGATATCTAATCCTTGCTAGAGCGATTGCGCACAAGCGCAAACTTTTCTTGCACTGCATAGACGCTCCGAGCAGTTCCAAATATTGTGTAGAATGCGGCAACGAGGCCTCGCTGCGTACGAGCCGGCCAGTCCCTGGGGAATTAATTGTTCTTCCTCGTTGGTCCAGTCACTCCATTGTTCCCAGTATTTATCCTGTTCCTCGGGCCATTGTGGTTGCGGTTCCTGAACCGTCCTGGATGTGTCCAACCCGTTAGGTGAAGCGCCTTCCCGTCGTCGTTGTTGTCAAATCTTGTCTCCCTCCCTTGAGCGATAGCCTTTCATCTTTCACCGTCTTGCACGAGCTTCTTAAGTGTGTTCGCTCCTCGGGGCTCCAAATGACTTGATGACTCGCCTCGCCTGGTTGATTCCTCGGCAGCCAGTGCGGGTCCGGTACGAGGAGGCCCGAATCGTTATCTGAAACTTCTTTAACCGGGCAGCTGGTCCTATATTTTGCGTCCTGAGATACTTGACGCACATGTCTTCATTGGAATCCCAGGACCCCGGTCGTTTGCTAGTAGCGATGAGAAGGGAGGTGGGCACGGGGGCCAAGACGCAGGTACCGATGCAACAGAGAGCTTCGGCGTAGACGATGGCGACTCAAGAATGCTGCATTAAATGCCCCATTGCCGTGTGCCGGATCGCCGTAGCGAACCAGATGGGGATACCCGGGGCGGAGAGATGTTAGCTGTCCTGATCGCATCATTGATGATGGTCTTCAAGTCCATGAGAAGCCGACAATTGGTTTCTCAACTCCACACCGTCTCGAAGCCCTTGTTTCAATTGATACGTCGACTCTCCCCAAAGGTGCGATAGCATACACTAAATTCATCACAGAATCCTTCCAGAGCAACGTCTTCCAAGCGGGCCTGAATCCCCGTCTCCACGCGCCCCAGCTCACCGTTAGACTTCAGGAGTTCCGCAACCCACTTGGGGCGGAGATTCGGGTTCAAGAGGCCTTCGGCGGGATGCTTGCGTTTGTAGTTGTAAGGGTCTGGTGCAATTGAGCCGACAGCACAGTGCCGTCTACTGGGCCCGTCATGGACATGGACCTCCCTCTCATGCTTCTCGATAGTATCGATCAGGGCGACAATCTCCTGAGAAGACCAACTGAAACTGGCAATAAGTGTACCTGTTTGATCGGCAAAGCTCGGTTTAGACCCTCCCAGTTTCGGGATAGCAACCGCGATGGCCTGTGAGACGGACCAGGTGATAATTCATCGACCAAGGAGACAGTTGAGCCTCGAGACGCGTCTTGGCGAACCGGAAAGTTGGCTCCAGCAGCCCACTGGTCCAGCAGATTAGATGATTGATGTATTCGGCCTTGTGAATCACAACGCCTGCCAGCACCTGGTCTGCTTGAGGGCATACTAGCATAGGCTCTGAGACGGCCAAACCGAGAACGTGGCCGTAGCTCTCGTTGAGCTTGTTCGAACTAAACTCGTCCCAGATCACGGCAGACTCGGCCATTTCTGGTCAGCCCTTGCCGGTAGTATTCCTGTGAGCTGTCGACGTGCAAGGTAGGTACGGTTTCTGCTGGCTGAGAAGCTGTCGCCACGTGGTATTTTTGTCGGCCATGTTCGCAACTCGAGATTACATGACCTGAGGCAATAGTCGCTTCTGAAGAAAGTAGTTGTGAGAAGATATTCGAAGCAGGCATGGAAAGTGAGCTTACAGTTTAGAACAAGGCTGCAACTCCGCTCTCCAATTGCCTATCACGCACGGCGCGGCCCGAGGTAGTTGCTGTCACACAGTTGAGGCCTAGCCGTGGTTACGCGATACGTGACGAGACCAAGTTGACGGCTGCCTGATGACAACCCCCGAATATGCTACTCAATCTTTCTCTATATACATGCAGAGAGTGAGCCATACTAATAATGGGCTAAATCGATGAAGCGTTTATAAGCGAATATGCAAAATTAACTCTGTTAATATTTTCACATATATTTAGTGAATATATTATTGAAATTCGATTCAAGGCTGCTCAAGTAGTATAGTCCGTCTCTGGCCTACCTCTAGGTGAGACCACATCCACAGACTAAACTAGCTCACGTTGGGATATTCCATGTCAAATGCAAATATTTTGTGCGACATGCGGTCAGAGACTTGTAATCAATTCAACAACTAAGCTGCTAGCCAATACATACATGCAAGGCAAAAGGTACTGAACCAACGCTGCATCAACGAATGAATGATGGGCCCTTGACTGCAAAGCGTCTGGTATATTTTCGCGTCAACGCTTTGTTTTCACCCAGCTTTGCAGCTACCAGCCAGCATCAACAACCTGGCCCGCCAAGATGCTGCCGAGTGTCCCGCCGGTCATCCGGTCGCTCTGCAAGGTAGACACCGGATCTTCATTCAACGAATTCTAGGAAAACGATGCAATGCTACCTGGAAACGTTGACCGGACAGCAGGAAAAAAAAATGCCTAGTCTCGATAGTTGCAGGCTGCCGCAACAAGCTTTTACAACCGCATCATGCATGCGCTTCATACCCTGGACCGTGCGGCGACAACAAACCACGTCCATCGGGGTTCCAGCCACGTTTATGAATAGGGTTAAATGATAAGCATATTTGACGGCTTCTTACTGGACGACGCACCCTCAATGGCCCTTCATGGTCCTTTCATGACGGCAAATCCAGCCTTGGCAAAGGGCTATTGCAACCCTGATAGCCTTCAGCTGGAGTCCCAAGGCACCCTGATGACCCGGACAAACAGCACCGATTCCATTTTCCCATCAAATTCTTCTGTTGAATTCGACTAATGTCAAGAATGCAGACTTGACGTCTCGCCCACATTGCCAATATGACGAACAATTTTGAGCGATTTACCTGCCATGGCAGGTCTTGGCATACCATGGAGCGAACTTATAAAGACATGGACCTTTCACGGCAAATGGTGAAATCCAGGAAACCCAGGCCTTCATCACATCTGTTGCATGCTTGACTCAGTATTCTGCCGGCTACAATGTATCCCGTCCTCGCAGCATTGCTCCTCTCCCGCGTCTGGGCATCTCCCGTCGGTCTGCGGGCAGAAACACCAACACTGGCCGTTCCCGCGCCCACCGAGCCACCGAGCGACTCGGCACACCAGTGGGCAGCGGGCTGGAAGCCCTCCTTCAACATCCACGAGTCCTGCAACAGCTCGCTGAGGGCTCAGCTCCAGCAAGGGCTAGATGAGACGGTCCAGCTGGCCCGGCATGCGCGCGACCATCTCCTGCGATGGGGGCACGCGTCCGGGTTTGCAGACAAGTACTTTGGCAACGGGTCGACGGCGCATGCCATCGGGTGGTACGACCGCATCATCGCGGCCGACAAGGCGGAGATGCTGTTCCGCTGCGACGATCCCGACCGCAACTGCGAGACGCAGAAGGGTATGTGCTACGCCCAGCCCACAGGCTGCACTGGGGGCGGATGAATGAGGTCAATAGCACTGACAGAGATTGCCAGGCTGGGCCGGCCATTGGCGAGGATCAAACGCCACCACCGAGACAGTCATCTGCCCGCTGTCCTTTGCGATCCGTCGGCCTCTCTCGTCCGTCTGCAATCTCGGGTACACCGTCACCGGATCCAAGCTCAACACGTACTGGGCCACGGACCTGATGCACAGGCTATTCCACGTCCCGACCATCAGCGAGGGCATCGTGGACCACTACTCTCACGGGTACGCGGGCGTCTTGGAGCTCGCCAAGAGGCAGCCAGAGAAGAGCGGCGTCGACACCGACGCGCTGCAGTACTTCGCCATTGATGTCTGGGCGTACGACGTTGCGGCCCCTGGCGTCGGTTGCACCGGCAAACCGCCCAAGGAGAGTCCGTCTCCGTCTGGCACAAGCAAGACGGTGCCCGCGGCAACTAGCACGACTTCCAGCGCGGCGTCTGTGAGTTTTTCTTTTTCTTTTCTTTCCCCCTCGGAACTTGAAACAAAGCTCGGGCACTGACTGTGAAACCAGTGTCATACCCATGATGACGGTGTGATACACTGCACGTGAAAATGAGATTAAACGGCATGACGAAGCGAGCTTAATGAAAGACAAGAGGGAGTCTTACTGTTGGAGCCAAATGTCTTCATCTTGGCGGCTCGTACTCCGTAGTGTGGACCGACTTGTCGCTGAGGCGAGAGGAAACATTGACATTCACATAGCTTTGGGGCTTTATTAATAGCATTAATAGCAAGCAAATAGTATGGGGAGTCAAAGTTACTCATTCGTCGCATACTCGTCGATCGCGGTCGTGAACAAAGGGTCCCCACAGCGCCGCGAAGATCTGGACATCTGACGTGATGGCAACCACCAGTAGTCCAGACTACGGAGCAACTATAACTCAATTTGCACAGCCCCTGTTCCGTCTGTTGTTGCCAAGAGCTGCGTTTGACCAGGGGTCCAAGTTAATGTCAGCAAAATTGCCCAGCGCCAACTTTTCCACAACAATGTTGTGAGAATCTCGCAGCAAACCCCAGATTCTGCCAGCCAGCTTCCGCTCATAACTGGACACGCCGGCCTGCGGGTCTGATGTGCACGAGTTTTCGATGCGCCACCTGCCGCGTATCCGGGAAGGCGATGCAGTCGCTGGCAACCTGTGCCGTGCGTTGCACTTTGACCCCCCCATTTTCGGCTTGACACCCGCAGGGTTGAACAAGTCGTTCATCTCAAGTTCATTGGGGCATCTCAGCCGCCCCTTTGGCTGAAGCTGTGTTTTTGCTGTGACCGAGTGGAGTGGTGTCGATGTGAGGTTGTATCAAAGCCCACTCACCCTCAGTCCAAGGAGGACATCTTTACTTGACTCAGAATCCCCCGACTTGCCGGATAGCGTCGCAACATTGACACATGGCGTGGCGTCAAACTTGACTAGGGACTAGCCGCCCCGTGGGGTGAGACATTTCTCGCCGTTCTGTGCCATTACCTCCTGTGATTGTCATGAGGAGGGTTGCAACGGCGCCAGCAACGGGGTAAGCTAGCCGGATGAGCATGGGCTGCTTTCAACATGGGAAGAGATACAGAGAATGGAATCAAAAAGACCCCGAGGCTGCACCGTCTTCCAAAGCCAACATCCTTCTCTAGGCCATGACTGGTTAGCCAAGAAAACACTAATGCCGCCTGTTAAATTTCCCGGCTCAAGGCTACCTAGCCGATGCAGCTTAAATGGAGACCTTTACCCAGTTCTCGTGGCGCAGTGGCGTCTTGGTGGAAGCTCAAGAGATGTGACAAGGCGAGGGCTCGATGGGCCCTTTTCTGACCCATGTTCCCCAATTCACCAAGCATTGAAGCCCCGGAATCTAAGCCCCTAGTTGTTCGGGCCTTTTGGAGGTCTCGACTTCATGCTGGTGTCATACTCCCGCAGAAGCATTGAAACACGGGTTGCTTCCATCCGCTGGAGGCTGAGAGGACTCCACAAAAGTCGACGGAATTGAGCTGGGGAGGGTGGGCAATGGGCATTGTATTGTTCTTTTGTCCCTCTCACTCCTTCTGGGATGGCTGGATGGATGAATGAGCAGCGAAGCGAAATATCATGTCGCCTAGAATCCCGCAGCCTCTCTCTCTTATACCATGCGTCTCGGCCTCCTCGAGCATCAAAGCTTTGTTTTCCGAACGTCCATCCCGCAGTGGAACCCCGAACCTGGAACCTGGCACCTGGTCTGGCCTTGTTTCTTCCGACTTGATTTCCCCAGATGGATCCCCCTCCCCGTTCGTCTGACGATGGGCCGCAGCAGCTCTTGTGAGTGACATGGCGCATGAATCCCCGCCACTGGGGCTCATTTGCATGAACCGGGCATCCAAAAAACAGAGACGACTGACTTCGCAACCTTCCCACCCCAGACAAAACGGGAGTCGCGTGCATTTGGGAGCTTTCTCAATCCGTCGCGAACAAATGCGCCGCCTCAAGGGACGCAAGGGCGACAGCATCGCGGCCGCGACGGAGAAAGAGTGCCAAGACGACGATTCTGTAGCGGCTGCGACAACAAACTCTCGTCAGTCTGCTTCGAGCATTCCCGGCAGTAGCAACCGACTGTACAGGACGAGCACCAGCGACTCAATACCCAGGCGACCTGCTTCTGAATACGAACAATCACCCATATCCGATCGGCGCACTTCCTCCAACGCATCTTCCGCGTATTACCCAGCTCACAGCCTATATCCTGCGCCGACAAAACCCCTTCCCGCCTTACCTCCCAAGGCAACAAACAGCTCCTCGAGATCCATCGGACGTGCCCCATCCGAACGATCTGTAGCAAGTAGCGCACGTTCGTCGCACTATTCTGACAGATCGGGAAGCATTGTGACCGGGCCACGCGGATCCTTTTCCTTCAAGTCGCCAACATCTACGCACTATACAACGCCGTCCGAATTCCAGCAGGGGGATCAGCACTCACAAGTCTCTTCCTTGGAGCTTTCCTTCAAGAGCATGATTTTGTCCCGAGATAAGCGCATCAACAACAGTGTCTACTACTTGGACGTATCCTCCACGTCATCAACCCTAGCTACCAAACACGGCAACAACCTTGTCAAGGTTTGGTCTCTCGAGACTGGCGATATAGAGAGCGTCATCAAATTCTCATCATATACAGAGGCACAGTCTCGCTCGCGTGACTACCTCATTCGAAGCCATGCCATCCTATCAGAGACATCTAGGCTGATTGCCATTGCCACACGGTTCGGCAGATCGATCGAAATATGGAACTGGGAAAAGAAGAAATGTTTACAAACCCTTGACAATGCGGATCGCTGGTCCGTGGGGAAGATGGAGGTGTATGGTCATGGCTGGGGACGTCTGGCGACGTATCGAGGCGAAACAGGCGTCATCGACTTGTTTGGGGCCACAAGGGAAAAGAAGCCCTTTGTGAAGATGAGATCCATCCATCTTGCCGAAGCAAGCCTGCCCTTCATTCCACAATACCCCGAACTAGCATTGTCGCCAACGAGCCCTCTCCTTGTTGCTGCCGCAGGGCCTCGACCTCCACGACGAGGACACCCGCCACCCGATAAAGAAACCCTGCTGGTGGCATGGGAGACGCATGACAACGAGCTTGTCGGAAGCAAACCATATCGAGTAGCTCGGCCCTGGCAGCACAGGGAGATTGACACCGCTATCCCCTCCGACCTCACTACCTATGGCAGCGTCGTGGTATCAATATGGATCCCCGCGACATTCCGTGCCGTGCTAGCGCCAGCATCTCGCGGGGGAACAGGGTACAGCTACAACCTCACACCGGTCAAAGTACCGTCTCGCCATGTATTAGTCTGGGATCTTGCGGCAAACTCAACCAGAACATTTGCAATCCCCAACTGCACATCATGCATCTCACCAGACTGTCGATATGTGGCATACTGCCACGCCAGCGGAGCAGCTATTGGTGCCAGGGGAACTCTCGCCGTCATCGACGTAATGTCGTCCCAAGAAGTGTGGTGCTGGCCTGATCGGAATGCAACAGCAATGGATAGTGGTCCGAGGCCGGGCTTGAAGCAGTTTGAAGACCTCGCCCGTGTCACCGAGTTGGCGTTTTCGGCAGACAGCAAATCGCTGGTTGTGGGTGATGGCGATGGCCGAGTTGGCGTCTATGATATACGCGGAAAAGAGGATGCGTAGGGCGTGAGAAATTTGGCAATGGCGTATTGAAGGAATGTTGAGCATGGTTGGTATGAAGTGTAATACCCTATTGACAATCTTCCAATTAAGAGTGGTACTTCATGATGGTGATGCGACCAGTTCAGATGGCGATTCCCCAGTCCAATGGTAGTCAAGTGTCGGGTGACATACCCTTTCGGTCATAGTTTTTTCCGTCTCAGCATGATGTTGCGCAGTTGCCAATTTACAAGATTGTTGCGGGAGGCAGGGACGTTGTTGCCATTTTTCGCAACTGAATGCCCGTCCCCTCCCCCATCCCTCATGACTCACTCTTCATCCACATTTGTGCCACACCACGCCGAGAGAATGACGATATGTTTTGATACATCCCTACTACAATTGAAATGCCGAGGTGAGAGGGAGTTGCCAGAGTCCATACTCCACTATGTTTGAGCTCCGGTCTGCATGTCCCGTATCAACTACGGCGACGTGTGTTCGCTACCCCCCAAATGGGACAATCATTGCCAAAGACTGGTTCCCTCACACGCAGCGCATGTCTGTTGGTCCATTGTTGGGTCACAGAATCTGCATCCGATTGCCAGGTCGTTCTACCTTCCAAACCAGCTATATAAACCAGCACAAGGCTCATTTAATACCATAAGCCAAGGGACAGTGAAGCCCCAGCAATTCATCGGCATTGTCGATGAGATGGATGGTTTTCTTCCATGTACTGGATACTTTTTCAATAAGCTACCGTAAGATCCCAAGTCCTACTAAACATGTGAAACCAGTCTGTGTACTGATCAACAATCATGGCCACCTCAATTCAGAGTAATCAGTAACATACATTCGAAAACTGGGTATCGATAAACGTCTCCTCCGCAAGTTGGCGTCGACTACACATGATGATCAGGAATGACATCCTGCTTCGAAACGCGGCGCAAATTTGTGTTTTTGACTCGGTCGGGCTCTTTCCTAAGCTATTCTGCCGCAAGAATGGCAAGAATGAGATATAAGTTCGTGATTACTTTCTCGACACCGCATGCCAGCGTCGTAGCACTCAGCACAAATAAGGAAGTAGCCACCGTCGCAGGTCGGACACTCGTATGGAGTGGTGCCGAGTACCGTGCATTGCGTACAGACTTTGCACCAGCACCCATCTTGAATGAACTTGACCGGGTTTTTCTCCGTTTCCACGTCCTCGTCCAACTCTGCGCCGGGATCGTGCGTGGTGATGTGTTGCCGGACGAGCTGCAGCAGGCCTGGTCTACCACTTCGTCGAGCCCACCAAAGCAAGTTGTGTCCAAAGCCATCCAGTTGCTCCGAAGGGTAGGAACTCACGGCCAACAGTCGGCGTGCAACTGCTTCATGCCCATTTCTAACTGCCGTGAAGATGGGTTTCGAGCCGTAAGAATCCGATATAGTTAGTGACGCCCCCCTTGCTAGGAACAAATCCACCATGTCCGCGTTTCCCCTCATTGCTGCATAGTACAGTGGTGTTCGTCCGTAGTTGTCTCTCAAGTCGATATCAAGCCATGGGGTTCTTAGGAACAGCTCGACGAGTTTTGGGTGGTTTTTGTGCACGGCAATGTGAACAGCGTTCCAGCCGCTCAAATTTCCTACCGCCATGTCGGCGCCGTGGGCGAGTAGCAGCTCGGCAACTTCAACGTGACCCCTTTCTGATGCAGCATGCAAAGCGGTTAATCCGCCACGATTTTTCGTCGATACGTTGGCGCCGCGGGCGAGGAGAGCCTTGACCACCTCGCTGTAGTCTCTGTCTGAAGCGATGAGAAGAGACGTGCAGCCAGCGTCGTTTGTTGCCTCGATGTCAGCTCCATGATCCAGCAGAATCTCAACCATGGCAACTTTTCCAGCTGCAGAAGCGAGAATCAGGGGAGTCCAGCCAATGATGCATGGTGAGTTTACGCTTGCACCCTTTTCTAGCAGGATCTGCACGACAGGTATATGGCCACTGTCCGAAGCCAGTGTGATGGGTGTCCATCCGTTGCCAGAGGGCAGAGCAACATCGGCACCTTTTGCTACAAGTGTATTTACCGCCTCTACCATGCCCTTGTCGGCTGCCAATGTCAGAGGGGTCCAGCCATCCCCAGTTGCAGCAGCCGTGTTCGCTCCATAGTCTATCAACAACTCGACGATGTCGGCATGGCCAGAGTTGGCGGCTGAATGCAATGGCGTCCACATTCGCTCCGCTGTTACGTGTACATCAGCTCCGTAGGCTAGAAGAAGCTTTGCCACTCCCAAATGTCCATTACAGGCAGCGGACCTAAGAGGCGTCCATCCCGTCTGGCTCGGGACCGATACATCTGCTCCTTTTTTCAACAACAGCCTCGCCACTTCTAGGTGGCCATCGTTGGCAGCCATATTGAGCGGCGTCCAGCCAGCGTAGTTGGTCTGCAAATCGGCATTCGCAGCCAGAAGCAGGTTGACCAGGTCGACATGGCCGTGCTTCGAGGCGAGCACCAGGGACGTCCAGCCGTCTTCATTCTTCACGTTGACATCTACCCCGGGTGTACGGAGCAGCAGACTGGCAAAGTTGAGATGGCCCTCCTCGGAGGCGATGGGTAGAAGCGCAAACTCGTGGACCTTGACGCCGGTGGAAACAGCGCGCTGCAAGGTCTCTACTCGGCCAGTCTTGGCTGCCCACACGAGAGCGGATGCGTTGGAGTTGTCCGCATTGTATCGATATAGATGGGCGATGAGTAGACTATAGAGTCTCTTATTAGACTTGGCAAAGGCATCAATATCTCGCTCCGCATCCAGGAATTCGGCCACGGCTACCAGCAGTTCGTTAGCCAAGCCAGATAACGACATTCTGACGACCAAGGAACAAGATCAAGCAAGACGCAGCAATTGCCTGTCACGACAGACTGGCTCTGCCTCTTGTCCAGGAACTGACGGTGGAGCGACGCCTGAGCTCTGGGGAAACTGGACTGGTCCAACCAACCCACCTTGAGGGAGGCATTCTTTTGAAAAAGTCAATGGAGTTGATGGTGGGGATTCAATCCACAATGACTATTGGTCGGGACGGCAGGCTTGAAACAAGACAGACGGTGAAGCTGTGCGTCACAGCCTTTGTTGCTGTGCGGCTGGCTGACGCGTGGGCTGAAGAGAAAAAGCGTCAACTGGTAGGAAAAGCTGCAGCAAAGGCGCTCAGCCAAGCCGGACGAGGGCCAGACGAGGCCAGACGAGGCCAAAGTCGGTCAAGGCCAGACAAAGAGCAACCCGAGATAAGCGGGTACCGAGCCACCTTTGATACACGGCATGAAGCATGAACTTGACCTGAGGCGATACGACCAGTCGGCAAACATTGAAGCTGCCTCCATACAATTCTCGGTATATTGGCAGCGACTTGCTCTGCGGTGCAACCTGGCAATTGCGTCACTCGACTTGCGCCAGAAGAACAATTGGCAATTGGTCCTCACACCCCCGTCGGGGTTGCCCTGGCTGTGGATTGTGGTCTTATGCCATGAGCAACCCATGAATGATAGGACCAAGTCGTCGGGTCAAGGGAAGATGAGATTCGATATCTATGGGCGCACAAAATCTGAGCAGCGCCGCCAGTCAACTCCAAAACCCACCTCAAGGCAACAAGCCGACGATAGCTGCTTTACCTGATACGCGCGTTGTTATGGGTTGCCATTGCTCGCGAGGGCGACCGTGCTTCACAAATAATGTTCAATCGAATTTGGCAAAGGAAAATAATGCGCAAGGAAAGACAGCTCCAAAGTCGCTTACGGAAACCAGTAAGCTATAGGGTAGCCCGCCTGCGAGCTTTGTCATCGGCCCCATGGCGGCCAACCTTTCAACCGTGTTACACAAAACTAGAGCGAAGGATTCATTCATGACCCGAGCCGTCTCCATTTCCACGCGTTCGAGAAAAACCCACCATCGGGGAGTCCGCAAATACCCACGGAAAGTGTGTCTTATCGCACGTGTCGTCTAGTTCTCCACAAGACCCGTCAAGGCACAGCGTCGTAATTCTGAAATCCCGTATCGCGACGCGAAAACTTCCAAGGCCCGCCCATCTCCACGCCTCCATAGAAAACCATGTGGAAATCTGGAAACTGTGGTGGACGTGTTGCACGATACTAGCATGGATCATAGTGTCCCCAGTGGTCAATTATGGGGCTGAAAAGGCCTACAATAATCATACTTGTTCCTTTAGGCATTTCGAAGAAGAGACTTCTTCTAGAAGGAGGACCACGTGCATCACGGTTGGCCAAAAATGGGAATGGTGTAATCAATTTGTATCTGCGACGTTCACTTGGCCTGCATTTGTCCTCCCCAAGGAGCATCACGGCCACGGCTAGTGTACAATATTGATGTCCTCGGAGATTAGTGGTAGTGCCAGCTTGGCACGACATTTGAAGAAAGAGCAGCTACGCCAGGGCTATTTTGATTTCGACTGTTTTATCGAAAGCATCTCTGACGCGACTGCTCAATAAATGGCAACATGTGGAAGATACTCATACGTGTACTCGACTTTAGGTAACGATGAAGAGCGAACGCCGACTGCTTTATCAAATATTAGTCTTAAGCACAAGCATGGGCTTGTGCTTGCGAGACAAATCCAAAAAACGTTTTGCCACTTGTGGCACAGACGTCATCAATGGGTCCTATTCGAAGCTAGGATATTCTGGAATATGACCATTTACATCAATAGATCCCCAAGTTCGGTACCTTGCAGCCGGCCCTGATCCTTCGCCAAGAGACCCATCGGGAGTCCACACGAATCCCGTAACTCTTGCCAAATGTGTGAAAGCGTGGAAACAGATTTGACTCGGTGCTGTGGCCAAGGAAGAACACGAAGTTGAGCGAAATGGTTGTGAAACCTGAAAATTGCTCTGAGATGAAGTGCAAGACGGGCCGTCGCCGAGGAACCATGGTTCCATGATATCCATCGGTCCCCAACTGTAGATTATATCTTGTCTGCGTCTCTCTCTTGTCTCCAACATGAACAGGCTCTCACGCAAGGTATTGGATACACTGCGAGGCGACGGCCGTTAGCAAGCTTTGCGGCTGCCACCATGAAGCCATATGCTTGTTTGGTTGCTGCCCTCGGGGCATCAGTTTCCGCAGAACACGAAGCATGGACGGTTACGACAGTTTACCACACCGTCACCACATACTTGCCCTACGAGCAGCATCGCTGCTCTGACCTCTTTCTTCTCAAGCCGGGCAACTCTCAACTTCCCGAAGCAGCATGTCGCCCAGGAGCCTGCTGCGTGCAAGTTGTGGACAATGACTATATTCAAGAGCTTATTCCCATTGAGGGCAATGGGAAGACAGCTCCCACTGGGAATCCTACAGTATACAAGACAACGGCATCGACTGAAACTAGAAAGCCGTCAAAAACGCCACACAAGTCTTCCCATGGCGAATGGACTCCCACTCAACCTCCTGTTTCTTGCACCGAGAACACTACCCCCAGGACTACACATAGTACCGCTACGGGAACTGCAGAGACTTCTACAAGACAAGAAACTCATGTGAGGTCAATATCCACAAATGGGCTCAAGAGTTCCGGCATACCCGCGTTTTCTGCTCAGCATGTATCCTCACGCCTGGGCTCGAGCATAGCAACATCACCGTCAGCGCAGCAGTCTACGCCAAGCGTGGCTGCCAAGTCCAACGCAACTTCATCTTCCAAGGAACGGGGGAATATCTCAAATGCAACGACCTCTTCCGAGTCAGCGTTGCCGATGAAACCGTCAAGCACAAGGGCATCTGAGAGCTCCCTTGAGCCCTCGTCCAGCTCGCCAACGTCACACGGCTTCATGTCGTCTAGGAAACCGGCGTCATCGCGGCTCATGAGCCCCTCACAGAGACCTAGCTCTTCTGTAGCCGCCAGTTCAACCAAGGCATCTTCATTAGAGCCAGAGAGTAGCAATCACTCTTATAGCACCAACACACCTAGCTACTCAAAGTCACCCAGCTCATCTCAGCAGCTCGGTTCACCGAGCCCTGCATCATCAAAGCTGGCGTTTTCCTCTTCAGGGCTTGCAAGCAAGCTGTCTTCCAGCATGGGACCATCTACTTCCTCCACGTCTTCTACGATTTCCTCCGGGCTGCGCGCGTCAAGTCATGTTTCATCAAAGCCTGCAAGTAGTAAATCACAATCAAGCATAGAGACATTCACGCCGCTGATGAGCTTGTCCAAGGTGAGCTGGAATAGCACAGCTTTACTGAAGCCGGCGAGCAGCATACGGTTTTCAAGCACGATGCCTTCCAGCTCATCATTGCAGCCGACAGGCTCACAACGGCCAAGTTCCTCAACGCTGTCCGTGGACTTCCAGAAGCCGAGTTCGTCAGGTCAAACCAGTTCATCTCATGCTTCGAGTGCCACCCTAGCCTCCAGCACGGAGTCGCCTGGCGCATCCACAATGCCAAAGAGCTCTCGGGAGCAAAGGTCTTCCGAGACTCCATCAAGCTCCAAGAAGGCCGGGTCATCGCTGCCAGTCAGCTCCATTGGAGCAAGCTCAACTCTTCCAATGAGCAGCTTGCGACCATCAAATTCTCAGCAGTCCACATCTGCGGCTCCATCCAGCGCACAAGAGCCCAGCTCGAGGAAACCAATCAATTCTGAGGGAACAATCGCGTCAATGTCAGTTAGTTCGGCAACGTCGGTAAGGTCGTTGACGTCAGGGAACTCTTCGAAAACACTCAGCTTGTCGACGTCGGTGAGCTCGTCGGTTGTAATCAGATCCTCAACATCGGTTATATCGTCAATACCAGTTAGCTCATTGATGCCAGTGAGCTCGGTGAAATCACTAAGCTCGTCCCCTGTGAGCTCATCGATGCTAGCTAGGTCCTCAATACCACCAGTTATCTCTCCAACAGCAGTGAGCTCGTCGATGGCTAGCAACTCGTCGACACTAGTGAGCTCATCCTTGCTGCCTAGCTCCTCAACACCAGTGAGCCTATTGACGTCAGGTAGCTCGTCAGAACCACTGAGCTCATCATTGCCACTTAGCTCGGCAAATACTCCGAGCTTGTCGACGCCTATGAGCTTATCAATGCTAGTTAACTCATCAGTGTCATTGAGCTCGCAAAAAACACCAAGCTCGTCGATGCCGTTGAGCTCATCGACGTTGATCAGCTCATCAATACCGGTCATCTCGTCAACGTCAATTGGCTCATCGATATCAGTAAGCTCGGAAAAACCATTGAGCTCGTCGTCGCTTGCTAGCGTAGAGGAACCAATAACTTCCAGCAGAGGAAGCTTACCGATGCTAATTAACTCGTCGGTGCCAGTGAGCTCGTCGATACCTATGATGTCGTCAACGCTACTTGGCTCCTCAATGTCAGTTATCTCATCGTTGTCAGCTAGTTCGTCGATACCCGTTCGGGGTTCTCAGCAGGCAAGCTCCCGGGCTCCATCAACTTCGCAAAGTACTGGCTCTAGCAGAGCAAGCATGTCGATGGTAGTCAGCTCGCCGATGCCCGTTAGCTCATCCATGCCAGCTAGTTCCAAGGAACAATCAACTTCGAGCAAAGTAAGCTTGTCGATGCCACTCAACTCGTCGCTGTCGATGAGTTCGCCAACGCTACTTAGCTCCTCAACGCTAGTTAGCATATCGGAGTCAATTACCTCGTTAGTACCTGCTCTGGATTCTCAAAAGCCGAGCTCCGTTGCGCCATCAAGTTCGCAGCATACCGGTTCCAGCAGGGCAAGCTCATCGATGCTAGTCAATTCGTCAATGACACTTAGCTTAACAAAGCCAACGAGTTTCATCAAGGCAAGCTTATCAATGCTACTTAACTCGTCCGCGGTGGTTGGCTCATCGATGCGGGCTAGCTCATCAATGCCAGTTAGCTTAACACAGCCAATTAGTTCAAGCAAAGAAAGCTCATTAATACAAGTGAGCTCATCGATATTAGCTCAGAGTTCCCCACAACCAAGCTCTGCGACTCCGTCAAGTCTGCCAAGCCCGTCAAGTCGGGCAAGGTCAACGGCACCAGCTAGCACAGGGAATTCGAGGAAAACAAGCTCATTAACGGTGATTAGCTCGTCGATGCCGGTGCGCCCGTCGATATCAGCTAAGAGTTCTCAACAACCAAGCTCCGTGGACCTATCAAGGTCTCAGCCCACCGGCTCTAGCAGGCCCAAGTCAATGACGCTACTCGGCTCAACGAAACAAACTACTTCGACAATAGTAAGCTCACCAATGCCAACGAGCTCGACGAAACCAATTCAATCAAGCAAAACAAACTCATCAATGTTAACAAGCTCGTTGATGCTGTTGAGCTCATTAATGCCAGCGAGCTCATTGAAGTTGGCGAGCTCGACAAGGCCAGTTAGCTCAACGACACCAGTGAGCTCGTCGATATTAGCTCAGAGTTCTCAACAACCAAGCTCAGAAAGTCCATCAAGCTTGCACAGCCCTATTTCCATCGGATCAGGCTCATCTCTGTCTGCAAGCAGTTCACTTTCATCAAGCCCTCAGCAGCAGAGCTCGACAGCTTCATGGAGCTCACAGGAACCAAGCTCTAGAATGAAGAGTTCTTCTATGCCTTTGAGCGGCTCTTCATCATCCAGTGCGCATTTTTTTGGTTCATCAAAGACACCAGCAAGCTCACAAAAACCGAGCTCTTCTTCAAGTTCACAAACTCCAAGCTCCTCGATGCCCGTTAGTTCACGTATAACAAGCTCATCTCCCCCCAAAAGCGGTTCGCAGTCATTAAGTGCAATGTCTTCTACCTTCTCGCTACCCCCTTCTAGCTCGCAAAAACCAGGTTCATCAATGTCAGAAAGCTCATCGATTGCGGCTGGTTCTAGTAAAGCAAGCTCATTTGTGCCTGCAATAAGCTCACAGCGATCAAGTCTGATGATGCCTTCCAGCTCGTCGGTGGCATCAAAGAGCTCACAATCGTCAAATATCTCAGCACCTCTCGCGAGCTCGCAGAAGCCGAGCTCACGCAAAGCCAGCTCATATAATGCTAAAAGCACTACAAGATTATCAAGTACGATGGACTCGAGCTCGGGCTCATCTACCCCGTCAAAGAGCTCGGCAACGATACGCCTCTCAGCGTCTCCTTCACGCTCGCAAAAGCCCAGCACATTGGTTTCAATTAGTCCCAGTGAAGCAAGCTCATCGGCGCCGGCGATTAGGTCATCTACGTCTTCCAGCAGCTCACGGCCATCAAGTATGATACCTTCAAGTTCACATACCCCGAGCTCCTGGGTGTCTATCTCAAGCAGGAAGGAGTCTAGCTCATCGACGCTGGCCAGCTCATCAATGCCAGCCAGCTCATCCATTGCAATTAGCTCCAGGAAGGAAGACTCAAACATGTCAACAAGTAGCTTATCCGTGTCTGTGGATAGCTGGCAGCCATCAAGCATCGTGGATTCCGGTTCTTCTATGTCGCTCACGAGTTCGCAAAATCCACGCTCTTCAGCGTCTTCTCCAAGTGTGCAGAAGCCTGGCTCATCAATCTCAGTCAGCTCTAGTAGCCCACGCCTGTCTACGTCTGAAAGTAGCTTATCCATGCCTACAAATAATCCGCGGTCATCAAGAAGAATGTCTTCAAGTTCGTCATTGCCACAAAGATCACGATATCCAAGCTCCACAGTTTCTTTGCCGAGCTCGCATCAGCCCAGCTCAAGCAAGACAAGCACGCATGCTTCTGCAAGCAGCTCACAGCTACCAAAGGACAAGGCATCAAGCGCCAAAGTATCAGCCTCATCAACTGCTGTAAGCAGCTCCAAGCTATCGCGCACTAAAAGCTCACCTACTCCTGCGATTACCAAGGCATCAGGTTCGAGAAATACAAGCTCTGCGTCGGCTGCAAGCACCTCGCAGCTATTAAGAACCAAGGCACCAAGCTTGTCTACTATCATAATCACCAGGATATCAAGCAAGATGACATCGAGCGCCAAGGTAGCAACTGCATTAACCGCCGCAAGCAGTTCACAGTTATTAAGCTCAACAAGGACAAGCTTGTCTACTGTTACAAGTAGTCCGAAGCCGTCAAGAACTACGTTGTCGAGCAATAAAGCCTCAAGCCTATCAACTGCTATAAGCAGCCTGGAGCTGTCGAGGACTAAGGTACCAAGCACTAAAGCGCTAAGCATCAAAACATCAAACACCAAGATATCAAGCTCATCAACCACTGTAAGCGGCTCAAAGCTATCAGGCACTGAAAGCTCATTTGCTACTACAAGTACCACGGTATTTATCTCTGAAGAGGGAAGCACGTCTACGGCTGTAGGAAGCCTACAATTATCAGGCAAGAAGACGTCAAGCACCAGCGCATCAAGCGTATCAATTGCCACAAGCAGCTCACAGCCATCACGCGCTACAAGCTCGTCTACTGCCACGAGTACCGAGGCATCAAGCTCAGGAAAGGACAGCACGTCTACAAGCTCACCCACTGCCGCAAGCACCCCAAAGCTACCACCGACTAAAAGCTTATCTACTGCTACAAGTACCAAGGGATCAAGCTCAAAAAATGACAGCACGTCTTTTGCTATAAGCAGCTCACAGCCGCCAAGCTCAAAGGTGTCGGGCGGCAAGGCACTAAGCAGCAAGGCATCAGGTCCTCAGGTGTCAAGCTCACTGAGCGCTACGAGTAACTCACAGTCAACAAGCTCGAGGATGACGAGCTTTTCTACTGCTGGAGGCAGCTCACTGCCATCAAGCACCAAAACATTAAGTGATAAGGCATCAAGCTCAAGAAAGACAAGTGGATTTCGCTCATCAAGTAGCTCGCGGGTGTCAAATACCGAGGCATCCAGCAGCAAGGCGCCGAGTACCAAGATCCCAAGCTCAATGAAGGCAAGCTTGACTACAGCTATAAGCAGTTCACAGCCATCAAGTACGAAAGTATTTAGTACGAAGATATCAAGCACCAACACGCAGAGCATCAAGATATCTAGCACTATGGTACCAAGTACCAAGGTATCCAGCGCTGAAGGAACCAGAACCAAGACCTCAAGTGTTAGAAAAACAAGCTCATCTATTACGACAATCAGCTCGTCGCCATCGGATACCAAAATGCCAAGCATCAAGGTCTCGAGCACTAAAGCATCAAGTACTAAGGTACTAGTTGCTACGGTATCGAGTACCAAGTCGTCAACGACTAAGGCATCAAGCACCAAGATATCAAGAAACAGGGTGCCAAACAGCAAGTTATCAAGCTCATCCAGTATTACAAGCTCCAAAATGTCGAGTACCGCGGTATCTACTACTAAGACGTCAAGTACCAAGGTAACAAGTACCAAAACATTGACCAAGACACCATCAACGAAGACATCGAGCACCAAGATACCAGGCAGCAAGGTATCAAGCTCATTGACTATTACAAGCACCAAGATATCCAGCACCAAGACATCGACTACCGGGGCATCGAGTACCAAGGTACCTAGCACTAAGACGTCAAGTACTAGGATATTGAGTACCAAAACCTCAACTATCAAAACCTCAACCACCAAGGTATCGAGTACTAAGGCAACTAGCACTAAGACGTCAAGTACAAACATTTTAAGTACCAAAGCATCCTCCACCAAGATACCAGCTACGAAGGCATCAAGCGTCAAGATATCAAGCTCCAAGATATTGACTCCTAAAGAGTCAACCGCCAAAGAATTACCCACCAAGACATCTAGCACCATGTCATTTACTAGCAAGACATCAAGTAGTAGGGCGTCTACCATCAAGATGTCAAGCACCAAGACATCAGGCACGAAGATATCAAGTACTAAAGCATCGACTACCAAGACACCAGCTACAAAGGCGTCAAGCCGCAAGAAATCGACTCCCAAAGCATCAACCGCCTTGGAATCGACTACCAAGGGATCCAGCACCACAACTTCAAGCGCGAAGGTGTCAAGCACGAAAGTATCGAGTCCTAAAACATCGACTACCAAGAGACGAGGTACGAAGGCAACAAGATCCAAGGCACCAAGCTCCAAGACATCGACTACCAAGACATCAGCTATCAAGACATCCAGCGCCAAGGCATCCAGCACCGGGTCGCCGGTAGTCGCGACATCGAGCACCAAGATATCAACAACCAAGACTTCAAGCACCAAATCAGCAACTACCAAGACATCGACTGCTCAGATATCGAGCACCAAAGTATCCAGCGCCAAGACATCGAGCACAAAGGCACCAAGAGCCAAGTCATCAACCACCAAGATAGCAAGAACTAAATCAGCAGCAGCTACAACATCCACTACCAAGACAACAAGCGGCAAGGTATCCAGAACCAAGACATTGTCTACCAAGACATCAAGCAGCAAAGCGTCCACCACCAAGATGTCGAGCAGCAGAGTATCTAGCGCCAAGAGCTCAATCACCAAGTCAGCAGCGCCGAGCTCATCCAGCCGACCAAGTTCAAGCACGATGTATTCTACCAAGTCCAAGACGAGCTCTAAAAAATTAAAAGCCAAGTCGTCATCAAGCAGCAAGGCATCAAGCCCATCTACTATCATCACAAGCACCAAAGCATCAAGCTCAAGAAGGACAAGCTCAACGGCTACAAGCACGCTGGCGCCAAGCGCGAGGAAAACAAGCCTCTCTACTCCGATCAGCACCAAAGCACCAAGCTTGACGAAGACAAGCTCAACTACAATTACAAGCACCAAAGCACCAAGCTCGTCTACTGCCACGAGCATTTCACGGACACCAAGAAGCAAAAGACCAAGAACGAGGAAGAAGCCAAGAACAAGGCGACCAAAAACAAGGGCATCAAGAACCAAGGCAGCGAATGCACGAAAGACGAGCTCGTCTACTACTTCCACCACGAGCAGCTCACAGCCGCCAAGCACAAAGGCATCAAGCACGCCAGCGCCAAGTCCACCCAGCAAGTCACACCCGGCCAAGGAGTCGTCGAGCACAACATCAACGACAAGCCCCGCCGTGGACAGATACCCCAAGGCCTGCCCGACGCCCACGTGCCAAACCGGCATCGAAAGCGCGATGTACTACAACCCGTTCCAGAACGACCCCAGCAGAGACTACCGGAGCTTCCAGCCGTCCTACTTCCAGCGCAGACGTCCGATGGAAACACGCGTCGTGGACAGCATCTACATCCGCGACGACGGCACGAACCTGACGCTGGCCAACGCGGCGATCGAGTACCGCGCGTTCCTGTACGCCTGCCAGGACGGCTGGTACACGTTCCACTCGTACCGGTCGGATGACATTACGCTCATGTGGTTCGGCCCCAAGGCGTACCGGGGGTGGACGCGCCAAAACGCCGACATTAGCCAGTTCTACTTTGGCGACAACGAGCCCAAGAGGGTCAGCCGGATGCTCAAGGCCGGCACGCACTATCCCATCCGCGTCATGTGGGGAAACCTCGGCAGCGTGGCAGAGTTGTCGCTGCGCATCCAGGGCCCAGACGGACGGGAGCTGTTTGGGAACTACTTGACGACGGAGGCGTGTGATGGCTCGTACCCCAAGTTTGCGCCTTTTGGTCGGGAGCGATAGATTTGTGATTTTTCCTTGTTTTTTTTTGGGGGACATGAGGAATGGATCAGGGATATGGCATTCGATTCCAAGTACATATGGCAGTGAGTGGCGTTTTCATTATGGACCGGACATGTATCATGTGTAATGTGTAATGGATGGGTGCTGGCGAGGATACCTGGCGGCAGATTTATTTTCATTGTGTTTATTCACGTACGTACTTGATCATTTTTACATTATCGGCAACTATAGTCATTGGTCTATTTACTCTTTTGTGTATCTGAACATGTTCGGCAACTGGTGTCATTGGGCGTCGCGCGGCCATTCTCAACTGATGGATTGATAGCGGACTTGGGTCTGGCGCTTGACATGTGCCAGGCGCCCGGTCCCAGGCGGCAGGCAGGTCAACTGGTGGGTGATTGGCGCGGCCTGCAGCGGCGCCAGCACTGTGGCGCACCAGCTTCAGCGGCGTGGAGCGCCTGCGGCCGCCCGTCGTCCACTACCCTCGCCCGCCAGTGAGTCTGGTACTATAAACATGTCGATCAATCTCCAGGTACGCCAGCAGGACACTTTATCGCATGATAGCCGCAGAGACTCTCCACGTGCTTGACAACCCGCCCTCCACGACACTGAATGATTGGCCCGCGGCGCTGGCACGGCCGGTGCCGATCAGACCCTCGGGTTGCCTACCTCGGCAGGACGAGCGCTCCGCCGCCGCCGAAGGTCCCCCGGCCAGCCAATCCCGCGCCGGCCACGAGCTGCCCCTCCGCCACAACCAGGGATCCCGCGCCGATGGTGCGGCAGCACGACGCCAATCACCACCGGCCGCCCGGCTTCTCGATTCCTGCTGTTTTTAAATGGCGCAAAAACGCGCATGCTCCCAGCGTCATGTGCGCAACGCATCTTCACCTGCAGCAGCCCTTTCATTACCAGGGACACCAGACGTTGCCCAGTCTGACCAAAAGCACGCCCTGCTCCCGTTCGGGCGGTCGGAAGACGACGGGAGGAACATGGGAGCGACGGCCACAAGTGGGTCCGATTACGGCCCCGTGGAGAATCGGCCTGCTGCTCGCTCCACCACGGAACCGGGTGGTGGAAGCAAATGCGTATAAATACGGCCTGGAAACGTTCTTTTTAAAACGAAAAAGCTCTTTCTACTCGTCTAGTCCAGTTTCTTGTACCTACCCGGATATACGTGACCGCCCGGACTGCCCGGACCCCCTGTTCCAAACTCAACTATTAGCCGACTTGTTGCCCTGAAAAATACAAAACTTGCTTGTCTGCCACCTTTTTTGTTCTTCAAAGCCAGGTACAACTCCATCCGTGACACAGCCCGCTCGCCATGGGATCAACCGCCACGACGGCCAACATGGAGCACGAGACACTGGCGCGCGTGTACGCCTCGTCCGACGTGGCCGCCACGCGGGCGCTCTACGACGAATGGGCCTCGACGTACGACCGGGAAATGGCCGACGCGTCGCAAAACTACGTGGGCCCCGCGCTCGCCAGCGCGTGCGTGCTCAGGATGGTCGGGCCGGACGACCTGGCGCGCGCGGCGGTGCTCGACGCCGGGTGCGGACCGGGCCTCGTCGGCCTTCACCTCGCCCGCGCCGGCGCCCGCACCATTGACGGCATCGACCTCAGCCCGGGCATGCTCGGCGTCGCGCGCAGGACGGGCGCCTACCGCGCCCTCGACGCCGTCGACATGTCCGGGCCGCTGCCGCAGCGCGACGCCTCGTACGCCGTCGCCGTCTGCATCGGCACCTTTACCCAGGGCCACGTCGGGCCCGACGCCATGGCCGAGCTGGTCCGCGTCGTCCGGCCCGCCGGCTTTGTCGTCGCCACCGTCCTCGCCTCCATCTGGGAGACGGGCGGCTACGCGGCCAGGGTGGCTGCTCTCGTTGCCGAGTCCAGGGCTAAGCTGGTCAGCGCCGACCTGACCGACTACCGCCAGGGCGCGGGCGTGCAGGCCCGCATGGTTATTCTTCAAGTGCTATAGTGCCCGTGTGTTGCGTGTGTGTTGCGTGTGTGTTGCGTGTGATATTTTCTATTTTTTTTTTGGTGCCATGGCCCGGAAGCAATGCCGAGACCGTTGCTAGAAAAGAGAACAAAAAACAGAGGCTGCGTGTGAATGAAGCGATCCAGTGTCCCCGGCCAATTTTGGAGTTTGGATGGGCGGCCGCCCCAAGTGAAATGGATGAGGAGTCAATCGTCATGGACGTCAGCTACAGTCTTTACCTATACTTTTATTCATGTTGCACAGCCCGGAGTCCGGATTGAGACCTGTGATTGCCGTAGATGGCCGTCGTAGACTTGGTCGTCGCAAGGAGTCGACAGGGCGTTTCTCCACGACGTGCCCTTCTTGTCGCCAGGGGTTTATCACCTTGTTCGAACTGGGTAAACTGCGTATATTGGAGTCCTCAGCCAGACGATAATAAAGACCACTGTTCTGAACTTGTGACGACAAGGCATGATACATGTCCATCGGATTGCGGTCCTCCATTTTCGGCAGTTGAACAAGCACAACATTTTCGTCACAGGCTTCGATCCGTCAATTAAAGTGGACCGTGCCTCACCCTCCGATCTGATACGTCACCGTCGCCCGACTTGTAGGAATGGGCCAGAGCAGCAATTTGTCATCAGAATTGGGAAGCCGACAAGTCTGACCGGCACCGTGTCTCGTCAACAGCTGATCCGGGTCCCCGATGCCCTTGGTCGGATCTGTTTTTATGATTCATTTGATGAAAGCGTAGACAGCCCCATATTGCCCTCTCGCAAACCACCATGACAGCGCGTGTAGACAGTCACGCGCTGGGCCGACCGGGTCGCCGCAAAGGTCAGCATCAAGCTACACGCCCGCTCCCGGCGACACGGCAGCTGACTCTGGCACAGCATGCGATCTGTGTTTTACTAAAAAGATCAAATGCGACATGCTGCAGCCCACCTGCTCGAATTGCATCTTATACAAAGCCGAGTGCACCACCGGCAAGGGGAGGCGCAAGCCGAACCCGCCGGCAAAGGTGCGCGCAGCCGCCCTCCAACATCGTCAACAGGAGCTGCGATATACGACGTGAGTCGGATTCCCAAAGACTTGACATTTTCCAACGCAGCTGACGTCTGTTGCCGTAGAGCAAACACGGACAGGACAGACGACCGCCTGGCCAGGATAGAGAAACAGCTGGAGCAGCTCATTGCCATGCAGGCTTCCAGACCGCCAGATACAACCGGTTCGTGGTCATCGTCCCAGTACGAGCAGGGCGGCGACAGTGCCATCACGCTGTCCGATGCCGATTTTGACGTCGCATTCCCGTTCCGTGACCCCATGTTCGACTCGACGTCGACAAAGTTCCCCTGGGCCGTGGACCTCGCGCCCAAGGACGAGCTGCCGCTCCCGCCCCAGCCCGACATCATGCCCATTGTCAACCACTACTTTGACACCTTTGCGCCCATCATGCCCCTGTTCGACCAGGAGTCCTTCATGTCCATGCTCAACCAGTCGTACGTGGACCCGTCGACGCGCAACAAGGCCTCCTGGGCTGCCATCCAAGTCGTGCTGGCCATTGCCCTGCGCACGCCCGTTCCCGAGTTGTTGAACGGCAGCGGAGGCTCGGACCGGCACCACCGGGCAAACTTCTTCCTCAAGAACGCCCAGTCCGTCGTGTCCGACCTGGTGACTAGAGACAAGGACCTGCTGGGTCTACAGGTCCTGCTCGGCATCGTCATGTTGTTCCAGAACAGCAGCGACACGGGCCCGGCGAGCGTCGTCATCGGCACAGCCATACGACTGGCTCACAGAATGCGCCTGCACTCTAGAGAACATGCCAAACTCTACTCCCCCGACGAGAACCTGCAGCGGCAACGCCTGTTCTGGATTGCCTACGTGCTGGACAAGGTAACCCGCCCCCCCTTCTTCTCCTCTTGCGCAGCAAATAAACAGGGCCTAACACGTACAAGGACATCTCTCTTCGCATTCAAGTCCCATCCGTCCAGCTGGATAGCGACATCGACATCGATGTGCCGCCCGCCAAATCCACCGACGACATCGGCGTCTTCTGGACAAAGGACCGCCAGACCTACTTCAACTACCACAGGTCCATGGTCCACCTCGCCCAGATCCAGGGGCGCGTATATGACTGGCTTCACTCAAACAGCTCTGCCAAGATGTCCCGCCAGGCGCGGCAGCAACGCGTGCAGCAGCTAGACCGCATGATCACCCACTGGTACAGTACGATACCGGCTGCCTTCAACATCGACAATTTAGACGCGTCTATCGGTGAGTATGCAGTGATACACATGACCAAGATGTATCATGTATACCTGCTCGTCCTCGTCATGACGTACGGCATCTACAGCCAGGACTCAAATTGGGTCCAGGCAATTCGGTCCGGGGACCGCAACGCGATTCGAAACCTGGCGTTGGGTACAGAGCGCCACGATTCCGACGCCGCGTCACAAAAGCAAGTCAGGTTGCTACCGGGGAGCTGGCACAAAGTCGTGCAAGTGAGCCGAGGCTGTTTGCGACTCTTCGACCAGTGCATACCGACAGAGTGTCTCATCTGGTATGCCCGCCACCCATTTTTCCTGGTCACCAGCGAGAAGCGGCCAAATCATACTAACTTTGAGCTCTAGGCAATGCTCCTGTCCTCACTTCTCGGGAATGATGGTCCTCCTGGCGAACCTCTTCATTGAACCCACACACCCGGATGCCCTGTCAGACGGAATCTTGTCTGCGCGCGCAATTCAGCTCTTTGATACGGTACTTGAACTCATCCCTGATCCAGAACACTACACCGAGATCCGCGTCATCATTGAAGAACTGTATAATAGAGTTTCCTCGTCATCAACGAGGCCAAATCTCAGGGTGGTGACAACCCAGGCGACGCTTTGGAGGCAAACTTGATGAGTTACGGAACAGTTGATGGGGATCCATGGAGCTGGGCAGCTGCTCTTCCGGGAAGGATGGAACTTTTTTCCGATACGAGGGATGGAGATGGAGACAGTCTTGGGGTCCTGCCGTTATGTAGATGAGGCCCAGTTCTGACGATTCATGTAAATAACTTTATCGGTTGCTTCGAGACGGGATTGGTGATTCCAAAGAGATTCCGAATGCTTCAATTTAAGTATGCCATCGCCTGACCACAGTTTATGATCCACCAACCAAGTTTTTTTTTTTTTTTTGCCAACAGTGCAATGTGCCCGCGTTGATAGACTTTCAGGAGGACAAAAAGTCATCATTCACCAAATCCTTGCACCTCCCGGGCACCCCAATAACGGGTCCATCAAAAAAGTCATCGGGGAGTCTGAAAGACGGGTCATAGTCTTTCATAGCGGTCAACGTCGTCCGCACGACATCGAACCCAAAACTATACGCCATGGTTTCTCCATGGCCTCCTACCAAGAGTTCACCATTAGCTGGACTTGCTATGAACAGCCATGCCATGACACTTACGGGGTATTTCGTCGTCGCTCATGTACTGGCGTAGTTCGTCTCGCACCAGGCCTGCCTGATCCGCGCCAACGTTGCTGAGAATTTGAATGACGCTTGTTCTTCTATGTCGAGTCGTATAATAAATCTCCAAACGCCTTTCTATTTCGGCCGGCGTCTTGGCACCACAAAGAATGATGCCAAGAGCAAGGCCATCCTCAAGCCCTTGGGCGCCGCCTTGACCCTGATCTAGTATGGTCAGCATACATTGGGGCGGCGGACCCCATTACACCGGCATTTAACTTACGAGGCAGCATTGGATGTGCAGAATCGCCAGCCAGTGTCAATCGACCCTTGCTCCAGGTTGGTAAGGGATGTCGGTAGAGTAGTGGCCAACACTTGACATCCGTTGCTTTGCTGATGGGTGGTCAGCGCTGGTCCTCTGGCGGGCTTGGGGGAGCAGAGTTGTGCACCTGATGACCTTGAGAAGTCTCTCGTCAAAGTCGGAAAATGTATCCATGGCGCGACGTATATCAACAGTGGCATGCCAATCTAGATTCCGTCAATATGATTTCAATCACAAAAACAGGATTCCAGTGACACGGACTTTCTTTCTTGTCAGATTTGGTCTCGTGTTCATGAAAAATGCCTACGAAATTGAGAAGCGTATTACTTTCATCTTGTCAGTCTTGGTGCAACAGTAAATCTATGATGCGATGACTGACTTTCGACAAGGATATACTACGAGTCGGCGTAGTGAGTTGTCGTCTGCAAATAGTTGACTGTACCCATCACGGCCCTCGGTAAAGAATTTGGTTTCAGGATCTGCCTCCAACGTCTCTACAGGGATGAGGAAGCGATAGCAGTAATTTGCGTGCACGGGATCAACGGCTTCGACTTTACGGCCCAAGATGGCTTCGGGAGCGATGGAGTGGACACCGTCAGCCGCAATGACTAGATCGCCACATATTTCACGCCCAGTTGCGAGCGTGATGGATGGTTTCAAAGGATTCTAGCCGTGGCCACATTGTTAACCTTCAAGACCAAAAGCCGTTGCCAAAATACTCGTCCGTCATGAATAAAAAACATACCAATGCCATCACCAGCGAGTCTAGGTGAATCGTGGCCGGAGCACCAGGGCCATCAGATCTGGTGGCCATCCATTTCAAAGCATTGTGTAGGTCGACACGATGGGATAACCACAGGGGTAGGCCGCCTACAGAAGCAGCCGACTTCTCGTTGTACACGGCAGCTCTCGGCTGCAGAGTAAAAGGATCAACCAAGTCCGCATGCCGCGCCCTTACCCAGCGCCATCGAACAGGATCCAGCCCCCAGGCTGTCAGAAATCTGCTCGCATTGGGAGGTACGTGTATGGCAGCACCGATCTCGTTGTTCATCGACGACTTCTCGTATAAGTGGACGCAGTGGCCAGCCCGTCGAAGCGAAATGGCTGCCGATAGGCCCGCAATTCCGGCACCGACAATAATGACGTTGAGCATGGTAGCTAGGAGGTTGGGCAAATCCGTGTGATTTTCAACAATGAAGTCGGGCACTTGTGTGTTGTTTGGCTGGCTGTTAAGGGAAGGGCGATCTGATGCGTGTCGACGTCGCGGTCATGCTCCCTAAATGAACCACCCCACGAACGTAGCATGTTGCGGGAGCCAAGAAATCGAAGCAGGCAAGCGGGAGATTTAATAGACACGATGGGAGACATCAGCTGAAAGGGACTTTAAAACACCCATCGGGAAAGCTGACTAGGCTAGCAGTCAGCAGTTAGCAGCTACAAGAAAAGCGGATCTTGGCGGGAAGAGGTCAAAAAATGTATCAATGATTCGAGCCAGGAAACACAAAGCTGACAAGAGTTCGTTTGCAATACCACCACCCCAGCAGTTCTTCCTTCATTGGACACCCGGGGCGCCTAGGGGCATCATGATCCAACGATACGTCATGGCCGCAAGAGTGGAGCTGGAGCTGAATGGAGTATTTGCTATCGTTGGCCGTCGGATAGTGCAGATGCATGGGGCATCATCTTCCCTGTGGCCGCTGCCACTATACAGGTCAAGCCGGCTGAAAAAGAAGAGAAGCAGCGTGCGGCCGGCTCTGCAAGCCAGGTCGTGTGTGTAGCATCTGGTGGGCACGCGCATTCCGGTAGGTGGCGGATGGCGGAGAAGAGGATTCGAGGGGCACGATGCGGGGAGAGCGGGTTGGGGCGCCAGAGGCGAGGACGGGAAGGAGCTGTTCCTTCAATGTTTGCACATCCCCTAAAAGCAGCGAAGACTACAATTATGTAGCTGCGGGGATAAGCAACCAATTAAAAGCTTAATTTTACACGGTACCTTAATCCCCTAACATACTATATGATGATATAAGTACCCGTGATAATCTAGGTTATAAAACGCTGCATCATAAACGCTCCAATCTTTCCTATTTTTGATGTCAATTGAAGTCACCAGCTGCTACCCGGGGCCCTGTGGATACCATGACCTAGTTGTAGTCTTCGCTGCTTTTAGGGGATACGAGGGTGGCGATACCGCGCTCAGGTTCCCAGACACGGCTGGTCACCTAAGCGGGTAGGCCTCATCTGTTGATGCAAGGTCTAGGACAAGTCAAGTAGATGCCAGTACTGGCGCATCTTTGGGCTCTACGGTCAATTGGTCTGTCGGAACAGTGCAAGGGCACACTTTCCCATTACAAAAAGAGGCTACGTGCACCCAAAAATCTACGAGCTTTGAATGAACACTGTCTGTTGGTTTACCTTGTCCCAGAGCGTTGATGAGTTCATCGTATTGCAGAGAGTATTTAGCCCTCTAGAATAAGGTAAACTATAAGGTAGTGTGTATGTAAAGTTGGTAGATTTTCGGTGTGCTTTTTTTTACCCCTTTTCTCTACTTCTTCTGGAATAATATATAAAGCTAATTGTTTTCTTTTACTAAACGTGCATAAAATCCCCTCTTTTAAAGCTTAATAATGCATCTATATTGTCCAGCGCCAAACTACCTGCTCTTGTTCTAAAGCTCAACTTGCGCAAGCTGGTAGAGATGACCCTAGCGGCTACGTGGCTGTCCATAAATGTACGAAACGTCCCATTCGTCGTACGTGCAGGTCAAAGTCAAACAACTTGCGTGGAAAGTTGGTACTAGTCGTAAGAGGACAGAGGACAAGGCATCCGCTTTCGTTTTCTAGCCGGCACAAGACCGAACAGCAATGGGATTCGAGATGCATCATAGTGCCAGGGGCGTATAGAGCAAAACACTAAGCAACTTGGAACATAACAAGGCCATGATTAGAATAACTTTGATAATTATGGCAGGCCTTGAGAAGCCATGCAATAGCTATGATTTACGTTCCAACCCCGTCTGGCGAGCACGTAAGAGACTCGGTAATCCAGATCAAAATCCCCAATCTTGGGCTCATCCACGGCGAAACCAACACGCAAGTATCTGCAGACTAATACAAGGTTTCCCTCCATAAAGCTCTCTCAGTACTCCCGTGCGCAGGCAATTACTTTGACGTCGTCTTTTGCTTGTGCCCACTCGGAGATGGCTTCACCTTTTGCGCGCCCGCGGGCTTGCTCTGGCTATCGACCGTTTTCGGCGCGTGAAGAGGGTCGACGGGCGATCGGTCGGCGCTGACGTCCTCCTCCGACTCTGTAGGGTGCGGTTTGTGGCTCTGCGAAGAAGACGCCGCCGCCGCTGCTTTCTTCTTGGGCATGTCCAGCGATGCGCTCATTGAGAACGGCCGCGTCGCCGTGAGCGGCACCAGTCGTGTGCATACGGCGCCGGCGCGCAGCGAGAATTGAGCGGTGGGAAGTTTCGTGGACCACATTTTCGTCGAGATGCAGAATATACCATCTGTTTGCACTACAAATAAAGAGGAAAGTCGTCGGAGAGAAGTCGATGAGGGGTCGGGCATCCCCATGGGCCATTGCATGATGCCGATGCTGCCGTGGCGAAGGACGGGAGCACTATGCCCGATCCGGGTCGCGCCAGACAAGGTATCAATTGATAGTCCAAATATCGGAGCGACCAATTTGCTGAGCTGGGGAGACTTTGTCGATCAATCCTCCGTACTTGCCGGAAATAATGGTTGTGCAACGCGAGCTGCGAGGGCGAAGCTCGGAAACGGATCTTGTCATCGCTTGCAGGATGTTGACAGCTGTCTTTTCATGCACAAGTTACCTACGGTCCCCGACTCGAAAACTACATCACGGTGATTTCTACGTCTTCTACAACAATACACCAAGCTCTGACTATGCCAGCAGCGGCACTTGAAAGCCGTCTAGATTACAGCCCAGCGTCTGCTGCATGGTAAAACTCTAGCACTTTTCCACTTGCCACACATTGCGCTTCAAAGTCTCTGCAAATCTCCCGACACTAGTGCCCTGGAATTCCTTGGTGAGCAAGTTTGAAATAATCTGATGCTCGGGCCGCGGCTCACCGGGCATCTCGGTCGTTGCGAAAAAGCGCCACGCCGACAGCAACGGGAACAGCGCGACATTACAGCCAAAAGCCCCTGATTCCCGCTCAAACAGGAGCGGTATAGAGTGGGCAATCTTGAACGCGTACATTGGAAGCATGCCCAGGCCTGCGTCAGTGCTTTCAAATTCCCGTCTCGCTTCGTCAACAGAAGTTGGGGTCGGCAAGGGATCTTTTGTGCCAACGCCAGCTCCAGTGTCCGCTTCAAAGGCACTGGACTCAAGGCTCTGTCCGTACAGACGTCCCAGAGAGGAGTCTACCGCCATGGAGATGGCCCAGAAAAGCGTGCTCAGATGCAAAAGTAAGACCTCGCGGTCGGTGAACGGCGGTTTCAACGGCGTGGGAGAAACGGTGTAGTCGAATCTCTCGAGCTCGGGGCCGATGTCGAGCTCCCACATTTGCATTGCTTTTCGCAGCATCAAGCACGATTCGAATGCTTTCTTCTTCCATTTTTCGACAAGATCTATGGACGCAGCATCTTGGACAATGCCCATGCCCTCCACTACGCCAGGCAAGTGCACGAGAACAATGACAAATCTGTCCCCAATGGACTTGTTACAATACATCCATGGTATGGTGATCCAGTCTGGCTGTTCGAGTGGACATCTTCGTCTCCTGGTCAGATGGGACAAGGCGTACCAACATGTCAGCAACGAAGTTCACAGCAAAAGCCCGCACTTGTTCGCCTTGCCTTCACACTCACCGTATTACATCGCGCATCGATAAAGAGCGTATGAGCCGGGCCGTGCTGAAACGAGTGCGGCCCGCGAAGAAGGATCAAGGCAAGCTGGCTGTCGTTGTGCCTCCACCAACTCGCCAGGTTGGAGTTGACGGCATCCATCTCTGCACCGAACCCGAATAAGACCTTAAGTGCAGCACAGTCAGAGAACACTACATGTGGACACTATACCGGGCAAGATATCTACCTCGTAAAACTCCAGAAGTCTGACTGCCGCCAGGACACCATCGCTTCTCGACAGCCGCCGGTGCTAAACGGCATGAAGCATGTCGACCGCGGCACTGCAACATGTCTGCAGGCCCTTCATCTTCAGCTGCGCGTCATTGTTCTGCGCCCCCAGAACAGACGCGCTGAGCGCTTGTGCAGCAACGGCTCGGACGCATGCAGCCGGTCGACGGCGCGCGTCCAGCTCCCCGTGGGCAGCAGCACGCCTGGTCGGAAAACGCACGCCCGTTGGGAAAGTAGTCGTTCCAGAAGATGCGGAGGTATTTCTGCTCCCGGGCCGCAACGGCCAGCGAGTCTGATGTCGCCACTTTGACTTTGACCATGCCCGCGTCTTTGGAATACATGGGCAGCCAGGGGGCTTTTTGTTTGGGTTTCTCCCCGGAACTAGGGGTCCATCAGTCTGCAGACTCCTTTTCTTCATGTGACGCGTTGATCCATGTGAGCTGTCGACTGTAGCCTTGGCACAGCAGGCCATATTTGATCCATTGGTGACAAGAGGGGACGTTCTTGTCGCACTTGTATGAACAAAGTACAGGTGTTTGCATGGGCAAATAATGGACATTTATTATGAGAGGAAATTCAGAGCAGGTAAATTCACGTTGAAATAAGGAGAAGGGTTATAAACGTACCCGCTTCTTGCGACGACGCCATGTGTGACAGCCCTTGGATCTGCCGGCACTCCAATCATGCTGCTTGAAGTCTTGGAGATCTCCAGGATCCCCGGAACGAGACTAACCGAGCAGTTATGTATGAGATGAGGGCTGCAGAGCGTCCGAGACCAAATCTGGCAACAATACGCGAGGCGACGGTCGAGACTCGAGAGTGTGGGGTTCCTAAGCAGTTACAATTTACCTTGGCAGCCGCAACGTCTATCCGAGTGCGTGAGGGCGTGAATAGGAACTGATAACCCGCTTCGCCTGGGATAGTTCCTGGCGGCAGGCGGTCAGATGCTTTCGCCACCACCAGATCATACAGTAGACTGGGCATACGTAGAAATTGACAGACAAAAGCCGGCCCGAAGATGATGACGGACTCAAAAGTGTCAAAGCTGGCCATCTCAAACGCAGCTACGTGCGTTGACGGCGTAAGTCTCGTCAGTCAGTCATCGAGGGCAGCAGTAAGACACGGAACTGCTTTGGGCTTCATTTCGCGCCATGTGAGGTTGAAAGTGGAAGTTACCAGGCAGTAACATGAAAAACATGCTTCATTTTAATATTGACTCATCGAGGATAACATGGTCGTCCGGCTTTACCCTACGGCCCGGCAGTCAACCCCGAGCATAGACCACGATCGCGACAAATTTCTGCCGCGGCCTAGGTGCAACCCGTAGCCCTATACCAGAACAGGCACACTGTAACTTATATCTATGCAATTACCTTGTGATAACGCAAAACCTGATCCGATCAGGTCATAGCTGGGGTTTGAGTGGTGGGGATTCTGGGGAAGCGCCGCGGAAAGCGGAGTTGGTCCCCGGTGTCGGCACCAGGGCTGCATCGGCATAACGGACTTGACGTCCGTCAACACCTTGCTGCAAAAGTCAATTCATTCAACGACCGGAACCATTATTCATTTTGCGGGCTCTCAACTTGTCACCATGACTGCGTCTTGGGCAGATTCAATCGTGATTGTGGGGTGAGCCCGAGATCCGGTTCCCTTGCTGTGTATGATGCTCGACCAGATACTCATGTATTCCCAGCGCGGGCATTATTGGACTCGATGTCGCCCTGGTCCTTTGCAAGCGCGGGTTAGGCCAATGCATCACCGTCGTTGCCGAATACCTCCCAGGCGATACTTCGCCATCCTACACCTCGCCCTGGTATGATGCTCTCTGTCCTTGCCAAACCCATATCGAAACCAACACTGGTCCTGACATGTCCTGCTCAAGGGCCGGCTGCAACTTCTCCTGCATATCGGGGAGCGACGCAAACGCGCTTCGATGGGACAAACTCGGCTACGCTCACCTCACAAGCCTCGCCTCTCACAATCCCACCGAGTCGTTTGTATCGTGGACGCAATCCGTAGAGTACTGGGACGCCCACGCACCCCGCGACAAGATCGAATCCATATCAGGATATCTCAAGGACGTACGTTTCATTCCTCCATTCAGCAGGCAAAACACAGTTGACCCCGTCAAAGTTCAAAACCATCCCCCAGCAAGAACTCCCCCCCGGCGTCGAATACGGCATGTCCTGCACGTCCGTCACCGTCAACGCGCCCAAACACCTCACATACCTCTACAACCTCCTCAAAGACCACTACGGCGTCCGTTTCCTCCGGCAGAAGCTTCCCAGCATCCAGGCGGCCTACGTCAGCCCCCAGACCCAAATCGTCTTCAACTGCACCGGCAACGCGGCCAGGACGCTGGCCGGCGTACAGGACGCCAAGTGTTTCCCTACCCGCGGCCAGGTCGTCCTCGCACGAGCCCCCATGATGCGCAGGAATGTGATGCGCCACGGCCGTGACTACGAGACGTACATTATCCCGCGGCCCCAGTCCAACGGCAACGTCATCCTGGGCGGCTTCATGCAAAAGGGCAACAAGTGAGTTGGCTCGCAACCTTCACGCCCACGCCCCACGTCCCTGATCCTGTTAACCACCCGCAGCGACCCGTCCACGTATGGTCACGAAACAGACTCGATTGTACGCCGCACAAGGGACCTCTGTCCGCAAGAGCTGCGAGACGGGCCTTGCGAGATGCTGGCTGTGTTTGCGGGCGCCCGGCCATCACGCGAGGGCGGAGCGAGGGTCGAGCGCGAGAGCATCTCTGTTGGCGGATCCGAACGCGTTCTGGTGCACAACTATGGCGCTGGCGGCACTGGGTTCCAGGCCGGCTATGGCATGGCGCTTGACGCCGTTGCCTGCGTCGACGACGCGCTGCGGGAGCTGGAGCAGCAGGTGAGCCGGGCCAAACTGTAGCTTGGCCGCCGGTGATGATGTTACTGCGCAGTTACAATGTAAGAGGTCCTCCTGGGGGCATGTATCTTGGAGAAGGACGAGTAATGAATTACATGATGAATTATGAGAAAGGAACATGGCTGCGTATTTTCCGTCAAAGAACTACTTAACTTGGTCGTTTCGTCCACCGGAGGGAGGGTGGTGTTACATATAGTGGGAGGCAAAAAGTATTTAAACAGATCAGGTACCTGGATGCAACGCTTCATACTATAATATACTTTAGTAAATTAGTGTATTATTATGTGCACTTATTGCTTCCTCTTCGGGAAACTCTCTTCAAGAAAAATTAAGACCCACATAGTGTCGATTCTAAGATGCTCGCACGGTCTACTTCTTAACCCAGGAACTAGACTTCCGGAACTTACCGGGATCCAGACGTGGCGATGCGCCTTTAGCTTTCGTAACCTTAACTATACACCCTATAAAAAAAAAAAAGAAAAAAAAAAAGCCCTCGCCTTACCTCTCCGCTCTCTTTAGGTTACATTTAGGTTCCACGATTTATAACTTCAGCTAAGAAATTATTTAAGCCTAAGAAGTTAACGCGAATGTATTATGCGATTATAGGTATCTTAAATAATTAAGGTAGCTATTAACTATGTGAAAAAATTTATAGGCTATAACTAATAGGGTATCTTATTTAAATAGGACTTTACGCTTTACATTAATTAAAGTATATTTAAGTTACTTTAACTATTAGCTAAAATTTCTTTAATTATATAATACATCCTTAAGTTTTCCGTTCTTCACGTCTCTTTATAGGGAAAAATCCTTTTTTATAGTTTATTTATTAATGGAATAAAGGCCTATAGAAAGGCGTAAAGTTATTATTCGTAATCTTTAAAAATATACTCTTATTACCTATTATACTAACTTTTAGTTAAACTAACCTATTATTCTTCTTATAGTTCTAGCTATTAAACTTAATAGAACTTATATCTTTACCTAAACTATTATAATAGATATAAATCTAAAAGAGAACCTAGAAAAAAGACTTAAGGTTATATATAAAGAAATACTTATTACTAAGAAGTGCTTTAATAGCTATAAACGCTCTAATATTAGTCTTCTTCTTTACTCTAGTCGCGTTTACTTATAGCACCTTAATTATAAGATTAAGGTTAATTAAAAAGGCTTTATCTTTATCTTCGTTTATTATAAGATTATTAATTAAGATATCTTTATATAAAAAACTAGCTTTAAGTAATAATTTGTAACCTTTAATATAGCGTTTTATAGCTATAAGTAGGACTATTTAAAAGCTTACTTCGTATAATAGAACCCTATAATTATAAAGAATAATCCACTAATATACTTGATTTAATAACTACTCTATTCCGGCTTTTATAGGAGATATTAAGATATAGCGCTTACAAGGTAGTAATAGCAAGCTAGTTTCGCTAAATAGTTGCTTAACGCTAATACTACTATTACGACTTTCACCTAGTATACTAGTCGCGCTTATATTAAAAGTTAACTTATTTAAGCGACGAAGTCACGTATTAATAGCTTTTAAGAGGTCTAGCCCTTTTCTAATATTCGCTAAAACGTTATTATTCTTATTATTAACGCGAACTATAGTATAGTAATAGTATTAGGTAACATTAATAACTTCTCTCTCCGTTACTTTTTAGAGTAATTCTCCTTCTTTTACACGTTCTATATATTACTAGAAGTCTTAAATAATAAGCGTAGTTTATAGCTCTTAATTTATATAGGCTAATTAATAGGTAATTACCTAGCTAGTGATATATTATACTCTTCTTAAAACTTTCTTTAAGATAATACGCTATTTCTAGCTATCTCGTTTAATTTTAATGTATCGCTTATTACTATATATTATTATTATAAGATTAAATCTTAAGTTTTACTCGCTTATTTAAAGAAACCCTAAAATTATTAATATAAATAATTACCCTTACTTATTAATATTAAACTACTTAAAAGTAATACCCCTTAGTTAATTAAACTCTTATATTCTTATTAGGGATCTATAAAGAGTAAAACCTAGTATAAAATAACGCGTGTTTTAAACAGCTAAAACCTCCCTCGCGTATCTACTAAGGTCTAGCTATGCTTTTACTATAGTATCTACTAATAGATTACTTTTAAGCTCTTTAAGAACGAGTATTTATAACTAGTAATATTAGAAGCCTTTTTTAGCCCCTAGATCGCTAATAAAACTAATGTTTATCTTACGCTTACTAGTAGAACCTTATATTAGCTTACTAGGTTATATAAGAGGCCTTTAATAAGTCTAAGGGGGGTTATAGGATTATATAAGAGCTATTAGGTTTATTATTACATTTATAAACTACTATAAAATAGCATTTTAATTAGCGTTATTTAGCTATCCCGCTTAACCGTCTTAAAAAAGTGGATTATTACTACTAGTATAGCTCTAGAAAATAGCTTCTACTATTATTTCTAAACCCTTAATACCCTTAAAGAACGTATCTTAAAAGCTTAAAAGTCTAATATATAATAGACTAAGCTTCTCCTTAAGGACTTAGTTAATATCTTATTAATATTTAAACGAATTAGCGAAGCTACTTATATTATGTTATTATAGCGTTTATTGAAAGAAAGATATTATCGGTTAAGGAGATAGTATAAATTTAAGAGCGGCCTTAATAATTAAATTCTATATTAGTTTATCGCGTGAATTATTAGTAAGCGCCGCCTTAAAAAGTGGTTTAATACGATTAAAATTAAAATTATTGGTAATAGTAATAG